GGTTTTTCGAGACAGGGTTTCTCTGTGGCTTTGGAGCCTGTCCTGGAACTAGCTCTGTAGACCAGGCTGGTCTCGAACTCACAGAGATCCGCCTGCCTCTGCCTCCCGAGTGCTGGGGTTAAAGGCGTGCGCCACCATCGCCCGGCAATAATGGCTTCTGTGTTGGAAAGAGTTGTGAGAAACAGACGAAGTCATGCATTTGGGTACTTAGCACACCACCCAGTAAGCACTCAGCAAAGTGTTCTGCGGGTAGAGCTGCTGCTGTTGCTGCTGTATGTCATTGTAACTATGATCAGTGTGGCGTACCAAAGGGGGAAGTGGGTTTGTGCACTGTGGAGTTGTTAGTGGGCATGTGCCTGGGTCTATGTTTGGTGCCCCTGCCTACGTACGTGATAGACCAGGCTTGGGAGGAGAGATGGCAAGGTCAGAAGCAGTTAACAGAGCCTAGATAAAATGACGACTGATAGGCCGAGGCCACTTTCAGAGGCAACACAAAAGACGTGTTATGCAAGGTTCATGGAAGATGTAATCTCGTCTCTTGGGAGGTAGCGGCAGGAGAGTCTATGCAAGCTGGAGGCAAGTCAGAGCTACATAGTGAGACCCTGTCAGCTGTGTGACTGACCAAGAAGGTAAGGACTTAAATAAGGTACTTTAAAAAATATTTAACAGACGGTGGCAAAAGCTAGCTAGGCAAGAAGTGTCTTGTGCCTGGTGGAGGCAGGAGGATCGGGAGTTTAGGCCAGCCTGAGCTACAAGAGACCTTGTCTCAATTTTAAAAAAGAATGTAAAAAATGTCAACAATTAGCTGGGTGGCCGGGGCACATGGCACAGACCTTTGATCCAGCACTCAGGAGACCGAGGAAGGCGGGTCTCTGTGAGTTTAAGGCCAGCCTAGTCTGAGGATCTTTCCAGCTAGGTCTATTACACAGAGAAACCCTATCTTGAAAAACTTAAAAAAAAAAAAAAAGATTAAACAGTTGAAACTTTCTGCTGTTGGGGACTGGAAAGCGGACATTCTGAAGCTCTTACTAATGAGAACATAAATGTGTAATGCTGGTCTGGGAGGCAATTTTGCAGAAATGACCAGTTGCGCTGGGTGTGGTGACAGAAGCCTATAAATCCAGCATTTCAAAGGCTGAGGGGGGTGGGGGGAAGCATGAGCTGGAGACCAGCTTCTAGCGCCAAAAGAGAATTACCTCCCTACTAAAGTTGTGAAAGTTCGTTCTTTCTCTTTGGCCCGCCCAGAAATCCTACTTCCGAGAGTGTGTCTCTCTGGAATTGTTTAAAGGACAGGTTTGTCCATGCCTACGATTATTATACCACCCAAAGATGTGGGGAGCCTGCCTCTGTCCTCAGAGAATTGACTTCCCCGTTTAAATTAAAGGTGTCGTACTTTCCGCAGCTGTTCAGAGGAGAAAGATGGCACCGTAAAACATTGTCCCAGAACTGTGTTTGTGTATGTAGAGTCAAGAGGGGTGCTCATCAAGTAACAGGTTGGTGTGCACCCCCTTCAGCACGGGTTTGGAATAAAGGCCTTTCTACACTGCATGCGCAGTGCTGTCTGGCTTCCATGCTTAACTCTCTGATTGAATTCCTTTCTCATTTCTCCTTATGCATGCGTACTTAAACCTAGGTAAGTTTACCTACATGGGACTATTAGCTTCTGTCCTTTTCTTTTTTTTCCCTTGTTGGTTTTTTGTTTGTTTGTTTGTTTGTTTGTTTGTTTAAGACAGGGTTTCCCTGTGTCCTGGTTGTCCTGAAACTCCCTCTGTAGACCAGGCTGACCTCCAACTCAGAGATCCCCCTGCCTCTACCTCCTGATTGCTGGGCTTAAAAGCGTGCACCACCACTGCCCATCTGTCATTTTCTATCATTATTTCCACTGTAGACTCCTCCATATCCACATCCCAATTTTGTTCCTTTTAAAATTATATTTATTTAGTGTGTGCTTGCGTATAGGTCAGAGGACAATTATGGGAGTCAGCTTTTCCCTTCCACCATATATATGTAGCTCTCAGGGGTGAATTCAGGTTGTCAGAATGGGTGGCAAACTCCTTTACCCGTTTTATCACCAGTCTTCTGTTTCTTTGGTGTTTTTTGTTTGTTGTTTGTTTTTGAGACAGAGTCTTAACGTGTAGCTTTAGCTGGCATGGAACTCACTTGGTAGCCCAGGCTGGCTTCAAACTCCCAGAGATCCACCTGCCTCTGCCTCCCGAGTGCTGGGATTAAAGGTGTGTGCCACCATGCTCAGCTCAGTTTGTTTTAGAGACAGTGTCTTACTGTGTAGCCCTGGAGAGTCTGCACCCTATTATGTAGACTAGGTTAACATTGGATTCGGGGTAGTCTTCAGCCTCTGCCTCCCAAGTGCTGGGTGTGAGTCAGCTTGCCTGGTCCTACCATGTTCTCTTCTCTTCTCTTCTCTTCTCTTCTCTTCTCTTCTCTTCTCTTCTCTTCTCTTCTCTTCTCTTCTCTTCTCTCTCTCTCTCTCTCTCTCTCTCTCTCTCTCTCTCTCTCTTTCCTCTGTTTTCTCTTCCTCCCTGGCCTGTGTTGGCCTTGACTATTCTCAGACTACACCTCCCTAGGGAGGTCCCAAGCACGAGTCTTCCGAGTCTTCCGTTAACTACCACAGGGGACTCCCTAATATTACTAGATTCTGGCCTTGACCTTGGTTCGAGCTCCCAGCTCCTGCCTCACGTAGCCAGGGCTGCCTCTGGACCTCAGACATCTCAAACCCATCATGGCCAATGCCAACGTGATGGTCCTTCTAGCTACTTGTCTTCTCCTTCCTCTGGTACAGTCCCAGAACCAAAGTCCTTTGGGTATTCCGGATGCTTCCCTTGCCACTCTCTGTTCTCCTTCCTGTCAGTCTCCGGATTCTGCTCATTTGCATTCTAAATGTGATCAGACCTGACCCCTGCTCTGTTTCTCCCACTGCCTCATTCAGGCCTTCGGTATCTTTTAACCAAACAACTGCAGTGGCCCTCTTCTAACTGGTCTCCCTGCCTACCGTCTTGCCGCCAGCATATCCATCCTCCAATCCTGATGCCAGAGTGATCTGAAATGCAAATATGATCTTGCCACTCCCCTGCTTAAAACCCACCAACTGCAGTGGTTCTGTAACTACAGGGTAGCCTCTGACGAGGGCCGAAAGTAAGTCTTGTTACTACTCCTACCCCTGCTGGGATTAGACCTCGTCCTACTAATACAAATACTAACGCTAGCAGCTAATGTCGACCAGGCGTTTCTCACTATGCTTTCAAATGACTTAACCATCCTTTTAAAAAAGAGATCATAGCCTCTTCAATGTTGTCTGAATCATACTGCTCTCCTTTCTTGGGATGAAGGAGAGAGGCAGAGTTGCAGGTGTGGAACATGGGGAGATGTTCAGAGCCACAAAGGACCTTACTGTGTGCTCTTTTAAGCAACCACTCTGATTTATCCCTAGCCATGGGTTCCTAAAAATCACCAGACAGTTGCTAGGATATGCTGTAATAACACCAACGGATTATCTGTGATAATCACTCCTCCAGATCTTGACTATGTTCATCAAATATGTCATGTGTTTGGGAGCATCCTCAGGCTCCTGGGTACCAGAAAAGGGAAGTGAAAGACTGCTGAAAGTCAGGGTCAAGTCCAGACTCCTGGCCTGTCATGTAAAACTATCTGGATCTGCCCGTCTCTGCCACCTCCCGTCATCCCTTTCTTTGAATCTTTCACTGTACTACAAACCAGCTGTATGTGACACTAACCATCACGCTCCCTTACTGAGGTCTGCTTCGTGCCAAGCACTGGGCTAATGGTTCCCTACAATGCCAGTATCTCAAGTTAGCCCCATGGTGACCTTTTAAGGCAGGACTTCATTCCCCACCTTATTTTTTTGTTTTTGGGATATTTGGAGGGGGGGGGTCGTTTTTGTTTTTTGGTGCTAGACGTTGAACCTCAGGCCTCACAAATGCTAGGTAGCATTCTTAACCTCTGAGCTCCATAGACCTCAGTAGTTCAAAAGAGGAGGAAAGCAAGGTGCTTGTGGGGTGAGGTAGCCCAGCTGAAGCAGCTGGAATGCACAGCCCCGTCACCCATACCCATCAATCAGGTTGCTGGCCTAGTGCTTCCTCTCCCTTGAGGAAAGCCCACTCAGATACCCGCCCCTGCCCCAGACAGTCCTTAGAGGCCTGGCTTGGCCCCCTGAGCTGCTCTGGACAGTCTCAGCGACTTTGTCCCCTCACACCACACTGGCATGCATGGGTTCTCCCTGAGTGGTCCTCAAGGCTGGATCTAAGTCTGGCAGCTCGGAACCAGCCTCAGGTGCAGTGCCTGGCACCTACCATGCCTCCATGAGAGTGTATGTGGAGTAGACTGCACTCAACACCGGGCACTGAGCCCGAGGCCGCCCTGCTGACCACTTTCCTGTCTTCACCTCTCTAGGCACAAAGCCAGGCTATTTGATCTCGGGAGAAGGATCCTTTCCCTTCCTGCTTGGGTTCCACCTGCACCCTTTGACTTCCGGTGGAAACTGCTGTCCGATCCGCCACCTTGCCCACACTCTGGACATCTCTGCTCTCTATGACCCCTTTCTCAGCCCTCCCTACAGCCTGGGACCTGTCCACTCCTATGAACCATCTTTTTCAACTTCCCCTTAACCTTAGCTCTTCCCTCCACTCTTTTTTTTTTTAATGTTCCCAAATAGTCCCCCCTTTTAAAAAAAAAAATCTGTTTTTCTCTCTCTGTCTTCCCAGCCAACAGCCCAACATTGGACTTTCTCCACAGTGCTGTTTAAGGCAGTTCTTTTGTGTTCGAAAGCCCCAATGCCTTGCTTTTAAGTTGTTGAAAATTCCTACCATCCCTAGCCGGAATCTCTGCCTCTGAGCCCTGTCCTGCCTTGAGCAGGGTTGGTATGTCCCTGCAGAGAATAAACAGCCAGCCCTTGGGCCTTCCCCAGCACCCTCTCTCCACAGCCACCCTGCCTTCCCTCACTTCCCAGTGTCCTCTGCTTCTGGCAGCTATGGGACCCCTGCCCCTGGCTTCTCCTCCATGCTGTATGGAATGAAGATTGCAAATCTGGCCTTCGTCACCAAGACTCGGGTCAGGTTCTTCAAACTAGACCGCTGGGCTGATGTGCAGCAACCAGAAAAGAGGCGAATAAAACCAGGCTCGAATATCAGCAAGCAACACAGATCACTGTTGGCCAGGATCTTTCATGATAGGTGTGTGAGTGCATGCCCGGTGAGTGGGCCGGGGAGGGCAAGAGCAAAGGATGTCTGGCTTAAAAAACCAGTGGCTTTCCTTGAGCTATGGTAAGTTCCACCTCCCACCGCTACCCACCCCCAAAGGAAGAGAGGCAGGGAATTAATCCTGGGAGGAGGTGGGTTCCCAAGCAAGCCCAAAACCTTCCCCTGGGCAGTTACCAGTCCAGGATCCTCACACCCCATAGCCCCTTGACTCCCCACTCTCCCCAGGGATGAGTATCTTCATGGGAAGCATGGGGTGGACGTGGAAGTCCAGGGGCCCCATGAAATCCGAGATGGGCAGCTCCTTATCCGCCTGGATTTGAACCGCAAGGAGGTGCTGACCCTAAGGCTCCGAAACGGAGGGACCAAGCCTGTTACCCTCACTCATCTCTTTCCACTCTGCTGGACACCCCAGTTTGCCTTCTACCATGGTGAACAGGACCTGCCCTGCCCGCTGGGCCCAGGTGAGTGGCCTTGTAAGGTAAAGTAGCCCTTGGGTGGTCTGAGCTTCTCCGTCCAGTGGGCTCCTGCCTTGGGATGGGGGCGCCGTGGCTAGGGTCTCTGCCTCACTCAGCTCACCTTCTTGCAGGTGAAAGCTATGAGCTGCATGTCTACTGTAAGACCAGCATAGTGGGCTACTTCCCAGCCACCGTCCTCTGGGAGCTGCTGGGACCTGGGGAGTCAGGGGCAGAAGGAGCAGAAACTTTCTACGTTGCTCGTTTCTTGGCTGCCGTCGCCCACAGCCCCCTGGCCGCACAGCTGAAGCCCACAACCCCCTTCAAGCGCACCCCTCGGCTCACTAGAAACCCTGTGTTGACCAACCGGATAGAGGAAGGAGAGAGACCTGACCGGTAACTGGACAATGACAATGTGGGCACTTGGGGAGACCCCTGACCTAGGAGACAGCCCCATTTCTGAACTGCAGTTAACTCTCTCCCCTGGGTCTCAGATCCCTTTTGCATCAGGAAAATCAGTATTAAGATGGACTGTTCCACCAGGCATGCCTTTAATCCTAGAATTTTGGAGGCAGAGGCAGGTAGATGGATCTCTGTGAGTTCAAGGCCAGCCTGGTCTACGAAGGGAGTTCCAGGACAGCTAGGGCTGTTACACAGAGAAACCCCTATCTCAAAAAATGAAAAAAATAAGATTGACTGTTCCTGAGTGAAAGGAATGTTACTTGGTTATTATTTAAAACATATTGCTTTGTTGTTGTTTCTTCAAAAGAGCGTATATGTTTGTATTTGTTGTTTATTTTTGGAAGAGCAGGGCCTTATAGCCCAGGCTAGCCTTTAATTCATAAACCAGTTATACTCATTTCCAGTGCAAAGTGCTGGGATCATAGGCCTGTACCACCACACCCAGCTCACAGAATACGTGTTTTTGAATAGTTCGGATATTAGGTTTTACAAAAATGAGAATGGTCTAACCTTGGACCAAGCAGCTGCATGAGCTAGGGAGCACTGAATCACACCACAGGAGTCACTGTAGAAATGTCTTCTGTGTGCACGATTCAGCAGCATGCATTCCAAAAGAGTGGAAGGATACAGAGGAGTGTTTCCTGCATGCTCCACGGGGACTTTTCCAGTCTTTGAAGGTGAGGGTTTTCTCTGTTTGTGATGAGTTTTCTGCCCTCCCACAGTGCCAGGGGCTATGAACTGGAGCTAAGTTTGGCCCTGGGGACCTACTACCCACCCCTCCGCCTCAGGCAACTGCTCCCTACCCTTCTTCAGGGACCGAGTATCTTCACGTCTCCAAAGGAGGTTGCTGAGATCAAGTAAGCCCCGGCACTTTGCGCCACGTGCTCCCTTGTCGTCTTCTCTCTCTACTGGCTTCTCCCTGTCTGTGCTCATTGCGCTGGTTCAGCTGAGCAGTGCTTGGTGCCCACAGCATGTTCAGTGTGGGGCATGAGTGAACCGGAAGGGTAGAGCACCAGGACAGGGGCCGACCCACCCTGTTCCTGCCCCGACTCAACCATCCCTACCAGGGCCCAGTTGGAAACAACCCTGAAATCCAGGAACTATGAGGTGAAGTTCCGGCTGCTGCTACACCTGGAGGAGCTGCAGATGGAGCATGACATCCGGCACTATGACCTGGAGTCGGTACCCATGACCTGGGACCCTGCGGACCAGAATCCCAGGCTGCTCACACTGGAGGTTAGGGCTCAGATCTAACCTTGTGGGGAGGTTAACAGGCCATGATCCCTGACAGCAAACATACAAAAAGGATGAATAGTTCCTGTTTCTGAGGGTGTATGGACAAAGCAAGGTGAGCTGCCTGTCTCCCAAAATGTGCCAAAACAGGACCGTGATTTTGTTTCCACTTTATTTTAGGCAGGCTCCCACGCAGCCCAGGCTAGCTTCAGACTTACTGTGTAGCTAAGGGTGATCTTGAATTTCTAATCCTCCTGTGTCTGCTGACCCAGTGCTGGGATTATAGGCTTGGCCCAACACAGCTAGTTCACATGGGTGGTGGGATTTTAATAGAAGTTTTGCCGCCAGCTATGTGATATTGGTGAGTCCTTTGTTTTCTCAGCTTTATGGATGATTCTGAGAGCTCTTTCAACATATTTTGGTTTTTAAAATTATATATGTGTGTGTGTATTATATATGTATATATAATATATGTTATTTTGTGTTTATGCAACATGAATAGCATCCACGTGGAGGTCAGAGGACAATTGGCAGGAGTCTATTTTCTCTTTCCACCATGTAGGTGCCAGGGATTGAATTCAGATTGTCAGGCTTAGCTGCAGGCACCTTTACCCGCTGAGCCATCTCATCAGCCCTCACATTTTAAGTGTATACACACAAACTCAGACATGCCCATGAGAATGGATTGATGTACAAGAGAGAAAGGAGAGACATAAGATGATCAGGGAAAGGTTGTTACAGGAAGCGAGTTTGCACCACGGTTCTAAAGGCAAAGCTGGAGCTGGGCTGGCCAAGAAGGCAGCTAGCCGGACTGGGGATATTGGCCACCACATTTTAAAATTTACCCTGGAGTTTTTGGGATTCCCAGGCTAGGCACCTCTAGCAGCCTGTGGTCCTTTCTCTTCCACCTGCTTCTTGCTTTGTCTTGTAGGAGAAGAAAGCTGAGTGAGTGGCAGCTATGAAGCCAGAACCTGGGGCTAAGACCCTCCCGTGGTCATCCATGGGATAGAAATGTAGACAGGCAGATTGCTGTGAGTTCGAGGCTAGCCTGGTCTATCTACAGAGAGTTTCAGGACAGCCAGTGCTATACACAGAGAAACCATCTCAAAAACGAAAGAGAGAAAGAGAGAGAGAGAGAGAGAGAGAGAGAGAGAGAGAGAGAGAGAGAGGAAAAGAAAAGAGAAAAGCTTGCTTATGTTCATATCCTATAGGTTCCTGGTGTGACCGAGAGCCGTCCCTCTGTGCTACGGGGTGACCACCTCTTTGCCCTCTTATCCTCTGAGACCCACCAGGAAGACCCTGTCACCTACAAGGGTTTTGTACACAAGGTAGAACTGGACCGTGTCAAGCTGAGCTTTTCCACAAGGTGAGTGTTGGGAGGACCAAATAACCAAAAGCAACCTTCAGACCTCTAAGGCCTGGAGTTAGGAGGTCTTGCCTCCAGAGATGACTAGGACCCTGAACACAGGGCAGGGAGACCCCAGGCTGTGTGACTTCACCTCCCAGAGAGCTTTGTAAGGACCTCTTGGGAGTAGAATGGTAGGAGTTGGACAGGGCCCTAGATTTTTACTGCCCACTCCACCTAACGAGAATTCTCCCACTTAATTCTCTGCCCAAAGCCTCCTGAGCCGATTTGTGGATGGGCTGACCTTCAAGGTGAACTTTACCTTCAACCGGCAGCCCCTTCGGGTCCAGCACCGGGCCTTGGAGTTGACAGAGCGATGGCTGCTGTGGCCCATGCTTTTTCCCGTGGCTTCCCGTGGGGTCTCGCTGCTGCCCTCAGATGTGAAATTCAAGTGAGACTGTGGGCAGGGGTTCTGGGGGCTCCTTGGGGTATGGATATCGGGAGTGGGGGCCCAGAAGCCTCTGAGACACCGGATGGCTTCAAGTTCATATTCCTGGACCCCTGTGCCAGGCTGTATGACCGGAGTCTGGAGTCGAACCCGGAGCAGCTTCAGGCCATGAAGCACATTGTGAGGGGCACCACCCGGCCTGCCCCCTACATCATCTTTGGGCCTCCAGGTACCGGCAAGACTGTCACGTTAGTGGAGGCCATCAAGCAGGTGAGGCTGAAGCAGAATCCAAGGCCTATACTGAATTATGCATTCCCACACACACACACAACATTTGTCTGCAGTTTTGATTCCCTCCAGTCACCTGAATATTCCCACACCTGCACAGTCACCCAAAGAGGAGGTAGGGACTTCGGGTCATTGTGACTGTTGACTGTTGACTTGTAAACACACAGATGTGAATTTACCAATCTCCAATACCAAAGTGTCATCTAGACAAGCAGGCATCTGGGAGGCAGATGCAGCCCGAGGCCTGTGGCCTAGGAAGCTTCTGCCCATACTACCCTTTTCTTCATCTCAGGTAGTGAAGCTCCTGCCCCAAGCCCACATCCTGGCCTGTACGCCATCCAACTCAGGGGCTGACCTCCTCTGTCAGCGCCTCCGGGTCCACCTGCCCAGCTCTATCTACCGTCTCCTGGCCCCCAGCAGGGACATCCGAATGGTTCCTGAGGACATTAAGGTATATAGGAAGTAGAGGGCCAAGGGACAGTGGATGCCTGGGAGGTTCTCAGAGCACCTAAGACTTGCTGTATGGCTCCTGGTTGGTCAGGACTCCTCTGGGGACTTAAGTTTCCTTTTTCGCATAGGGAGGGAGGCAGGTAATAAGTGCTGGAGGTCCAGAGCCAGGGTGAGAGTGAGAAAGGAAAGAGCCAAGCTGATGTCCCGTCCTTCCATACCCCATAGACCTGCTGTAACTGGGATGCTAAGAAAGGAGAGTATGTATATCCCGCCAAGAAGCATCTTCAGCAATACCGGGTCTTAATCACCACCCTCATCACGGCCAGCAGGTAAGGGATGGACAGGATCTGTTTCTCACTTGTTAGTAAAAAGTAAAAGGGTATATAGGGCTAGGGAAAGAGGAAGGGTTCCTGAGGGCGGGGTGAAATGAAGGGCCAGAGTTCAGGATTGGTAGCTGGGTGCCTGGGAATGACCCCTGCTTGGCCTGACACTCCCAGGTTGGTGTCAGCCCAGTTTCCCATCGATCACTTCACACACATCTTCATCGATGAGGCTGGCCACTGCATGGAGCCTGAGAGTCTGGTGGCCATAGCAGGTGAGGGGGCTCAGCATGGGCAGTAGGTACACCACCCCACACCAGCTGGGTGAGTCCCACCATTTAACCTTTCTCCCGGGCCTCTCAGGACTGATGGATGTCAAGGAAACGGGCAATCCAGGAGGGCAGCTGGTGCTGGCAGGAGACCCTCGGCAGCTGGGGCCTGTGCTCCGTTCGCCACTGGCACAGAAGCACGGACTTGGCTACTCTCTGCTAGAGCGCCTGCTCACCTACAACTCCTTGTACAAGAAGGGCCCCAATGGCTATGACCCCCAGTTCATCACCAAACTGCTCCGCAACTACAGGTATCGCTGCCCGCGCCTCTGCTGCTTGTCAGGTGAAAGAGGGGCTCTCTTTGGCAGCCCTCGTACAGCTACCTGCCTTGTGACTGAGCAGGCCGCTGCTTCTTGGACCAATGGTTTATCTGCATACCGAAGGTCGCCAGACCAGAATATGTCTGGATGGGTCTAAGTTTCTAGGCAACCCAACAAGAAAAAAGAAAGGCAGGGAGCATAAGTTTTTCCATAAAACCATTGTTAGTTGAATTGCATATTCAACACAGGCCTATATACTTGTGGTTTTTCTTTTTTGTTGGGTACTGGGACTTGAGCCCAGGACCTTGCACATGGCTTTCAAGAGTTTTACCACTAATGTACATCCCTAACTCTCCTCTCCCTTGGAGACGAGGTCTGCCGTGTTGCCTAGGCTGATCTTAACCCTTGGCTTGAGCAATCCTGCCTCAACTTCCTGAGTAGTTAGGATTTTAGGTGCACACCACCCTCACAATTTTATGTACTTCTTTATGTAACGCCAGTGCTTAGGTGAGTTCTAGACTGTGAATAAGAGCTTCATAAATCTGGGACTGGACAAATGCTTCAGCAGTTAAAAGTGTTGCAGAGGACCTGTGTTCAGCACCCATGTCAAGTGGCTCATAGCCACCTCTTACTGTAACTCCAGGGGGATCTGGCACCTTTGGCCTCCATGCCCCACACACTACCACATACAAATACACATAATTAAAAAGAATAAAAATCGGCAGAGGCAGGCGGATCTCTGTGAGTTCAAGACCAGCCTGGTCTACAGAGCTAGTTCCAGGACAGGCTCCAAAACCACAGAGAAACTCTGTCTTCCAAAAAAAAAAAAAAAAAACAACAACAAAAAACAGGGTTGAGTAAATATAAGCTGGGCCTTCGTAAACGCCTTAATCCCAGCATTTGGAGCTTGGGTGAGACAGAGGATTCATAGTTTAAGGCTAGTCTTGGCTGTAGTCAGATATAGTCTCAAAATGGCAGGGTTGAGATGGCTCAGTGGGGTAAAAGTACTTGCTGTACACATACCTAGCAACCCAAGTGGAATTTCCTGAATCCGTGATCCTACTTACGGGTGGAAGGAGCGAACTGACTCCTCAAGGTCCTCTGACCTCCACATGCATGGCATGGCGTGACCCGCACCACACAGTGATAACTGTAGAACCACACAGTGATGACTGTAGACATCCGTAAACGCTTTTGTGACCATGCTTTCATTTGGGGGCTTTAACCTAATAGTGTTGATCATTTGATTTTGGACTGCCCTCGTTTGGCAAACTAAAACCTGAGAATGGGAGCTAAATTCTTGGATTTTTAAAAGGAATTTGACTGGTCAGTGAGAGCCCTGCCTGGCTCCGCTTTCTGTCCTTACAGCCGACGCCGATGAATGTGTCCTGAGCATGGCTGGAGGACCAGAGACTGGGGTGGGGAGCAGGTGGAGCAGGGCTCCCCCAAGGGGCCTGGATCTTGTTCTTTCTCCTCCTGCCTCCTAGGTCTCACCCCACCATCCTGGACATCCCTAACCAGCTGTACTACGATGGGGAGCTGCAGGCCTGTGCGGACGTGTTGGATCGAGAAAGGTTCTGCCGCTGGGAGGGGCTGCCTCGGCAGGTGAGGCCTAACAGGGCGGGGCTCCGACCCTGGACCTCTGCCGCCCTCCTCCGGAAGGCACCGAACCCTCCCTTTGTTTGTTACTCTAGCCTGGAACCCTTGAGTCCCTAGCTGGGGAGGAGGGAGATCAGCCTGAGGGGTTTCCTCTCGCTTCGTCATGTCCAGGGCTTTCCCATCATCTTCCACGGTGTAATGGGCAAAGATGAGCGAGAGGGCAATAGCCCATCCTTCTTCAACCCCGAAGAGGCCGCCACAGTGACGTCATACCTGAAACAGCTGCTGGCCCCTTCCTCCAAGAAGGGGAAAGCCCGCCTGAGCCCCCGGAGCGTGGGCGTCATCTCCCCATACCGGAAGCAGGTTAGGCCCTCAGTCCAAGACTAGGACTTTCTTTGCCGGCTGCACCCTAGCCAGATGCCGGCCTCTGCCTCCCTCTCTGTGAGGGTGGGGGCATGAGAGAAAGGCAGCTCTCCCCTCCCTCCAGGTAGAAAAAATCCGTTACTGCATCACCAAACTTGACCGGGAGCTTCGAGGACTGGATGACATCAAGGAGTTAAAGGTGACATACGTGTTCTCTCCCAGCCTTCCATGTGCCTCTGACGTTAGTCTGTGTTGTGTCCCGTCCCACCCTGTTTCCTCGGAATGAAACTGGGGTTTCCCCAGGTAGTTCTGAGAGCAAGCACCACGTCTTTTCTTATCAGTCAGGTGTGTGGCCTCTGCCCTAAGGATGAAGTCCAAACTCTCTAGACCAGCCCTGCCTGTCATGTGATGTCGCCCCGCTCCCTCTGTCTCTTAACTTTTGGTCTGAAGGGGCAGCTCAACACTGATTCAGATAAAAATCACATGGAGAACTTTTAATAATGCCACTGCCTGGGTCCCACCCAGCCAATTAGCTGTCTGGAGGAAAAACCAGAGTGGGTTTTTGCTATTGTTTTGTTTGTTATTTGCTCTTTATTGTTGGCTTTCAAGACAGGGCTTCTTGGTGTAGGTACCCCTGGCTGTCCTGGAACTTGCTCTGCAGACCAGGTTGACCTCAAACTCAAGAGATCCTCCTGTCTCTGCCTCCCGAGTGCTGGGATTATAAGCACCATCACCACCTGGCTTTTTGTTTTGTTTTGTAGCTCCACAGGTGATCCTGACGTGTGGAGCCAGGGTTGAAAAACCATTGCTTTATGGTGTACAGGCCTCTCCCTTAGAAATTCCGACCAAATTAGTGACTGTGTCTCCGGAGAAGAGACCTCTGCTTGGGGCTTTTTTTGCGGTGCCTGCCACTTGATTGGATTTGAATCCTTTCCAGGCCCCACCCTGTAACTGGCTCTGCCCTTCAGGCCTCCACAGCAGGCAGACCTGGCCTCTTCCTGGGCCCTCAGATGATCTACAAGTAACCAGTGGCCTTTCTGTACCTTCCTGGCAGCTTTGCCCCCTAGAGTGGGTTTGTCGCCATGGCTCCTCTTAGGTCTTAAGGCCTGCCTCTGCCCTCTAGGTGGGCTCCGTGGAAGAATTCCAAGGGCAAGAACGAAGCGTCATCCTCATCTCCACCGTCCGGAGCAGCCAGAGCTTTGTGCAGCTGGATCTGGACTTTAACCTCGGTTTCCTTAAGAACCCCAAGGTTTGCAGGCTTGTGGGTGGCATTAACGTGTCCTCAGGGCCTGTCCCTTCCATGACATCACCACTTCTTCCTTCCAGAGGTTCAACGTGGCTGTGACCCGGGCCAAGGCTTTGCTCATCGTAGTAGGCAACCCCCTCCTCCTAGGCCATGACCCGGACTGGAAAACGTAAGCATTTCCATCCCATAATTGCTCTTGATGATGACAAGTCCCAGCCTAGGACAGGTGTGTCTCAGATCTCTTGGTGTTCATGATGCCCACCCTGAATTATTAAGTGAAGTTGAGCCACTCTGCCTTCTGCCTCTGTTCTGCACAGCTGCCCATGCCAATATCCCTGTACCCCACAGATTCCTGGAGTTCTGTAAAGAAAACGGGGGGTATACTGGATGCCCCTTTCCTGCTAAACTGGACCTGCAGCAGGGACAGGACTTACTCCAAGGTCTGAGTAAACTCAGCCCCTCTACCTCAGGTATGGATGGGCTGTGGTGGTCCGAGGGGCCGGGGAAGGCGCTGCTGTGGAAAGAAGCAGCAAAGAAAACCAAGTATGTCTCCTCTTCCTAGGGCCCCACCGCCACCAAAATCTCCCTCAGGAGCGGGAGGGTGAAGGAGGCCTGTCCTTCCAAGTGGAGCCAGAGTGGAGAAATGAGCTCTGAAGACACAGCTGCCGCCTTCTCAGACCAGCCAAGCCTTATTGCTGCCTATTCCTCAGAACCCAGTTCACCTGTCCCCGCGAGAGACAGGAAGGCTGGGACGTTTACATCCCCAACCCTTCCACCCCTTCCTCTGCTAGGGAAAATTAACCCAAGCTGCTAAAATTTGGAGGAAGGGGGAGGAAGAAAAGCTTTTTCTTTTTTCCATCTCCTTCGCAGTACTGGGGATTGAACCCACAGCCGCGAATATGCTAGGCAAGCAGTCTATCGCTGAGCCGCTTCAAGAAAAACAAAATGCCGTTCTATGCAAAAGCCTCTTGCTTACGCCTTGCTTGCTTCCTGTGCCCCCCAGCTGACCCTCCAGGAGGGTATCTGTCCAGAGCCACACCCCTTTACAACTACGTGGAAGACAGGAAACCCAGTGGACAGGGAAGCCACCCACAGGCTTCTATGTTTAGCCAATGGTACGGACCACTCCCCTCACCCACCCAGGCAGTCAGCCAAACATGACCTCATCCTTTAGACTCCACCCTGTCCCCTGCTGCCTCCGCCCCCAGCCCCGCCTCGGCAGACAGGGGCCCAGCCTAGCCAGCAACTCGAGAAAAAGATGGGACTCCAGGCTCACAGCCAAGGTAGGCCAGTAAAGACAGGAAGCTGCCGCACGTGGTGCAACCTTTGACCTTTATTCATGTCCTGCCCTCCCACTGAGTCAAGTCAGAGGTGAGGCTACTACCCAAAGCAGAAATGCCACCCCAGACTCCTCCTGTGAGCCAGAAATATAAAGTGCTGGTGTGTGATAGAGGGAAGGGACTACGAGCCCAACCCCTGGACCAACGCGGCAGGCAGGCGGAGGGGCTCTGCTCAGGAAGGGCAGGGCACTAGCCTGGTTCCCAGTGGCAGGGAGGAAAGGGCCTACCAGCCCCCAGGTGGGGCTGGGAAAACTCATGCAGTCCTGGGCAGGAAAGAACCAAAAAAGAAACTGGCAGCAAGGAGCCCTACAAGGGTGGAATGGGATAAGGGCATTTTGAACCCCGTGAGGGGGAGGAAGGGAAAACTGGAGAGATCTTGGGAAACTCAGAGAATGGGACAGCCTCTCCGGCGCTTATTCTTGCGGACCTGTAGGCCAGCCCGAGTGGCCATCTCAAATACCTCCCGCACCCCTTCCTTAGTCTTGGCTGATCACTCAAGGTAGCCAAAGGCACTGATCCTGTTTGCCATGTCCCGGCCTTCCTCGGATCGAACAGGCTCCTGCAAAGACAAGATGTGGGGTCACAAGAAGAGGCAAATAATATCTTCTATACGCCCTGCAGAACACCCAGCTACCATAGGCAGCTTCCAAGCTGGGGCCATAAGACCCAAGTTTCCCATTTCAGAATTCTGTCTATTCTCTCTTCCCACCCAGCCTGATTCCTACAGTGCCCATTTCAACTCTGAGCAAGCGCCCACCGCCCAACTGACCTCCGTTCTTATTTTCCTCTAGTCCACTGGTTCTCGACTTTCATATAGCTCCTCCTGTTGTGGTGACCCCCCCAACCATAAAGTTATTTTGTTGCTACTTCATAACTAATTTTGTTTCTTTTATGAGTCATGATGTGACTGACACACAACCCCCAAAGGTTGAGAAAACCACTCTTTGAGTCCATCCTCCATAGCTACCAGAATGTTTTTTACTGACATACAGACTGGACATCTGTCCCCAATTAAAACCTTAATTATCCTCCCAGGAGAGCCTACCTTCCTTACCTTGCTCTGAATAAAGCAGTGCTCTGGCTAGAGTCCCTCAGCAAGTCTCTGAGTGCACACCCCATTCATAATGCCCTCCCTCCCGGGGCACTGCAGTGGCACAGCCTCCAAACCCTCATTTGACACAGCTGCCCCCTGAGGGTGAGGATGGCTCTTCATCTTAGCCCCAACTCCAAAGAGACCAGACCTTAAGCTGGAATAAGTTAAAAAAAGAAAAAAAAAAAAAAAAGCCTTGGACAGGTGACTTCTCCAGCACGCAGGCCTGGGACGGCAGGAGGTGAACATCACAGTTCCTGCTAAGGCTGGCTCTTGGCTGTTTTCCATACCAGTTTTTGCCCCCGCCCCCAGGACCCTTCCTCACCGGGCCACGCCGCTGCCTCACCCACCTGTTTCATCTTGGCCAGCTCCCTTCTGGTGTGCTCATCTTGCCTCAGATCCTTCTTATTCCCCACCAGGATGATGGGCACATTGGGGCAAAAGTGCTTCACCTCTGGGGTCCACTTCTCGGGAATGTTTTCTGCAGATACCCCAAAAGATGTAGTTGTGGGCACAGTGCGGCAGAAGCCCAGCCTTCCACAGCTGTCACCAGGACTACTGAACACACGGTACCCTTGTACACCCCCAAGCCCCTTGTGGTGGATGCCCTCACCCCCACCCCAAGGGCTACTGTCTCCATTGCAAAGGAGACCTGCAGGGCCCTACACTCCCTCCCCACAGCCTCTGAAGATGGCAGACACCAAAGGCTCTCCATCCCTCCTCCGAAGCCTTACCCAGGCTATCAGGACTGTCAATGGAGAAACACATGAGGATGACGTCAGTGTCCGGGTAGGACAGAGGCCGGAGGCGATCGTAGTCTTCTTGCCCTGCCGTGTCCCACAGCGCCAGCTCCACCTGACACATAGGACTACTGAGTAGCTAGCCCGGGGATCCCAAACCTAACACCCCAAGGTCCTCTGAAGTCACTGGTCCCATAAACTTAGGGATCATCTTTGCAGCACTCAGTATGTGCTGAGCCGTGCTGACCAGTCACAAAACCAACAATCTAAGGCGGGCTTGATCTTTGTGTAGTATGAGCTGCCATTGTAAGCACCATGTAATTCTTAACGACAACCCTTTGGGGGTAGTTCTTGCCCTCATTCACATTTTGCAGTGGAGTTAGGTGGAGCCCAGAGGCAAAGGGGCTTGGCTCAGATTCCAGAGCCAGTATGTGGTCAAACCAGATAGTACATCCAGGTTTTCTAGGGCTCCAGTTTCACTTCCTAACTTCCAGTAGGAAAATGAAGCAAAGACGTAGGCGGGTGCTAAGAAAGGACACACTAGGGCCCTATAGGTATGGGGGCAGGGTTCCCAGGCAGGAAAGTCTCGGCCTTCACCTGCTTGCCATCCACTTCAATGTCTGCAATGTAGTTCTCGAAGACTGTAGGGACATAGACCTCGGGGAACTGATCCTTGCTGAAGACAATGAGAAGGCAGGTCTTCCCACAGGCCCCGTCGCCCACAATCACCAGTTTCTTCCGTATTGCAGCCATGGTTTAAACTGGCAGTCAAGAGGCAGGGGATTTGGGAGGAAAAAGAGAACCCAGTAAGGCCACTAGCACTGCTCTAGGGCCCCCAAGCTTCCATGAAAACCACAGCATCCAGCAAAGGAAGAGTAGGGGGCTTGCCAAGGCCTGTTCTTGCCAAGAACCAATCCTGCAGGCAAAAGACCTTGAAATGCTGGTCAGGACAGGTCTTCCTGGGTGGGTTAGAACTGATCAGGAGAAGGAAGGTGACACTTGGGAGCCAGGAATACTGGCTTAAATCTTGTTCACGTGCAAATGCTCCCAAGAGACCTAGATTTATCTGGCTTGCCTATCAGCTTTTTTTTTTTTTGGCCAGGATTTTGACTCATTAATAACCACTAAAATGCAAGCTAGAATAGACTGTCCCTCCATAGAAGGCATGCATGCCTGGTCACAAAGACATCAGCCACAGGTGGTAGGGCCGAGCAAGGAACACAGGTAGAGCCTCTAGGCGGTCCTATCTCCTGGACACACACGTTTTGTTGGGTATTTTGAGAAGAACCTTCAGGTCTCCAATTGCCTAGTTGGTGGATGTGGAAGTCAAAGGACAACCCAGAGCCAGTTTCCTCCTTCTCCCTCCCAGTGGGTTCCTGGGCTCGAACTCGGGTGATCATGCTTGCTTGGCAAGCCCCTCTGCCCGCTGAGCCATTTGACTCCAGGCCATCCTACTTTGACAAAAGTAGGAAACTGAGGTTCAGTGAGGTTTGGACACATTATTTTGAGTCTGACACATATGGTGGGTGCAGGACTGGCTCTCAAGGCAAGGCAAGTGATCCAGTCTGTCTGGCCTACACAGCACCCCACAAAGTGAGAACAGAAACAGAGAAAGTGAGCCGGGGGGTACAGTGGGAACAGCCCCGGGACAGTAGGAGCAGCCGGCTGGCTTCCTGGCCCACCCCACCCCTTCCCCAAAGTCTCAAGTCACACAAAGAAGGCTCAGTCCTGGCAGCTCACGGTCAGGCAGGCTTCCCCCCCCCCACTCCCTGGGCCTGGCAGCAACATTGGGTCACTCAGCCCCTGACAGGGGACAATGACCACACTGTGAGGAGCCACACATCTACCACAGCACTGCTGTGATGGAGCTAATCCACTTGGGAATCACCTCCACCCACTCTCTGGAACAGCCCCTTCCTCCTGGAGTCCAGCTGACCCTTAGGCCCGCAGACACCTCCCTGTGACTTCTCTGTCTGCATGTGTCCCGCACCCCAGCACACACGAACAAGCAGTTCACACCTTCACAGCTTCTCTTTCTTCTCAGCTGAAGGGGGCTGACCAGGCTACTGAGGTCCCCAGGCCTATACAGACAGACGGGGAAGGAGAGTGCCAGCCAGCTTGGGGCTAGAGATGGGAGTCCAGGCTGTTGGTGAGAGGGAGGGAGCTAGAGCCCGGGCTGGGAGGAGCCCAAAAGAAAAGACTAATGAGGATCAGCCTAAGCTTGGACCAGGCAGGGAGCAGTTAAGTAGGGGACAGTAACCCGATCCCAGCCCCAAACTTGGCTTTTCCTTTCAATCCCATATCCTGTCTGGCTCAGCTGGGCTCCTTTACACACCACCAGCTCAGACCCTGGCCTGTGCCTGCCTTTTCGGAAGCAGAATACTCTAGCCCCGGGCTGATTCTTTTCAGTATCAGGCTTCTGGGTGGTTCCTCCTCCTACCTCCTAGACACACACACACACAACTGGGATGTGAGGAAGAGGACATGAGTCACAGGGAATTTATAGGACTTGAGTACGCACAGCCCCACTTAGCATCCCCCACCACAAGGAATTGTTCTCCTTGATACCCCCAAAAGACAGAGAAGACATTCACTGCGACTGCTACCTCCTTTAAAGGCGAGGTCTGAGAAGTATATCCAGGTAACCCACAGGACTTCTTCCAACTCCCCAACCCACTCCCATTTAATTCAGCCAAGTCCAGCTGTTTACAGGCTGGATGAGACAGCCCCAGCCTAGGGTGGGCAGTGTTGACGGCGGGTGATGGCTACTACACGCTAGTCACTTCCGCATGCATGCGCCACTCGCTGTCCCACGGCAACATGGTTGGCACCACACGGTAGGAGGCAGAGGCCAGAACTTCATGGCACGAACTTTAAGAGCCCCCAGCTCATAAATGTTTGCATCCAGCCTCTTCTTGGCCCAGAAGAGTTGGAGACCCAGGCCAAGGCAGGACCGGAGGCCCAAGGCCAAACCGGCAAGGCTAACTAACACACTCCTGTGAGCCGCGGTCCCAGAGGAACTGCCCCACTGACCCTAAGAGACCAGGAAACCTCAGGCAGGGCCTGAAGAGGCGTCTAGAACTTGTGGGGCCTTCCCCGGGTCAAAACACTAGCTCTTCTTGTTCTCTTGGTTTCCCAGGTGATCCAACAGGCCTTTGTACTCTGCTCTATTGAGATCTAGGCAAGGAATCACTCTTCAGGCGATACCTCTTCCTTTACTTTAAAGCCAGAAGTGAAGGAAGAAATGGATCCCAGCTTTCAGCCCAATCCCCTAACACTCCCAAACCTCCCAACAGGATAGGAGGCAGAGTCTGGGATTTTGGTGTTCTGGTTTTTTCCTCATTCTCAGACGCACAGACACAACACGGGAGTGGAATCTTTCCTTGTCGTCTCAACCTCTTAGTTCAGACTAGCTCCAAAAACCATCTAGGGCGGCGTCCAGACCCGCCAGGCAGTGGCAGCCCCCAATAGTAACACCCCGCCCCTATTCCCGCCATTCCCCTTCCCAGGCCAGAACTCCCCTAGTCGGCTCAAGGCCCTGTTCCTTACGCCCCGCCTGGAACTAGAACGTCTGGGTAGGGTCGCTCACAGAGATCAAGTGGATCCCTGCCCGGCTAGGGAGGCTCAGAAAGGAAAGAGGCTGTGGTTCGAGAACGCTCTACCCAGGAGGCTAGAGCGCCTGCCCTGCTCCATGGCCAGCCCGGAGCCCCCTCCCGGGCCGTTCCCCGAGTGATCAGAAAACCGGGAAAGTGCTTTCCTCGGAGCCGAGTTCCCACGACGCTTCGCCACCCCCCAGCTCGGGCCCGGGTACCTTCCGCTCCGCCGCCTCCAGCTGCGCGGCCGGTGCCGGAGGCTGAGACTGACCCGAACCCCGCCCCACTCTCCAACACCGCTCCGGGGCGGGCCAGTGGGGGGGGGTCGACGGGGGCGGCCCTTGGCTCGGCCCGCCTCTGCTCCCCGCCCTGGGCCGCCGCAGGTCACCCCCGCTGCTGACCGAGCATCGGGCGTGGGGCTGGAGCTGGAGGGACCGTGCCGGGGAGACGTCTGAATTATTGGGCGGTGGGACCCCGGAGGACTCGGCCTCGGCCTTTTTACTTCCAACCCTCCTACCGTGGGGGGCGGACCCGAGTCGGGAAAGTTGAGCGGCTCCCAGGGTGGGGTCAGCCAGGGCCGCTGCTGCCCTCGCGTGGCCAAGCAGCCCTCCTTCGCCCTAGCTGTGACCGAGGGGACCGGCTATGCCGAAGCTGCCCACTCTCTGCTCTAGGAATTACCGCGCTAAGTGTAACACGACGCTATCCCGAGCTTTGGAGGCCTTTTGCGATGTGCAGTCCCCAGCCACCGTCGTCGCCTTACAAGGAAGGCCCTTGCTTCCTTCGCCGGGAATTTCCCTATATCCTGTGAGGAGCACACTCCTGGAAGTGCTTCCGCTTCGCCAACTAGGAACTGAGCTCATACTCCTATTGTATTGTGCTGTTGAGCCCAGTCTGATGTGTTTCACAGTTACTTACCTGATCCTGTATGCCCTTCCTTATAAAGGGCCCAGGAGGTGGGTGTTAGAGGAAGTCTATCAGTATTTTATTTGCAAGTGCTGGATACTTTAAACACGCAGGTCTCTGGAATAAACTCACCCATTCCCTTTTGCCTGTAAAGAAACTGAGGCCCAGGGATGCGGTTTGGCAAACGATTTGTGACAGCAAGAATTTACAGTGAGGTGGACCATGACAGGTCCTAAGGAGCAGAGGCAGGTGGATCTTTATGAATTAGTTCCAGACAACCTTGGTTACATGAGACCCTGTCTCAAAAATCAATCAATCGAGCACTGGTCAAGACTTCCAGAGGTCCTGAGTTCAATTCCCAGCAACCACATGGTGGCTCACAACCATCTAGAATGAGATCTGATGCCCTCTTCTGGCCTGCAGGCACACATGCAGAGAGAACACTATACATAATAAATCTTTTTTTTTTTTAATCAATCAAATTTACAGTCAGGCCTACAGGGCACCTAGACCCAGGTGCTGGCTCCCCGCTGCCCCCCCATGCTCCTCCTCCAACCTGCCCTCTGCACCGTCTAACTTAAGTTCTGCTCATCACAGCTTTCAACCAAGACTTGCCGAATAAACGCATGTTAGAAGTCACGTGAAGTCTACTGCAGGTACGGCTGGGTTCTGGGCTTACACCTGTAACCTAGCACTCCTGAGAGAACAGGGTTGCCAAAGCTGTCTCAAACACAGGCAGATACGTACGAAGTCACTTGCTCAGGATCCGAAGCACAAACCACACGTTTGGCAAACCAGGCAGCTGAGGTGGTGAAAGGCAGTTTGGCACCTGAGCCTTTTAATTCATTCAGTAAGCGCTGGTTGGCTGTGAACAGAGTTGTTACTAACCACACGTCTCTGCCTTCACATAACGAACAGCCTACATGAAGAACACAGGCAACCTAACGTAGCTAACATTGATTGAAGCGTTATTACATGAACCTTGCTCACCCTACCCACACTAACTACGCACAGTTCTTATGAGGCAGTACTGTTATCTACACTTTATAGAGACATCATGGAGGCTCACAGAAGTTACAGGGGTGTTGGGGCAAAACAGTCGGACTTGAGAGTCCCTGCTCTTCACGGCTACTCCCCATTGGCTCCCCCTATGGGCAGTTATAATCCTGGAGGGTAACTGCCTTCGCAGCGTGTAGGGGTTGGGGGATATCCAGACCGGGAGGACAGGTGAAATAGGCATGAAATGGTAATGTGAGATTTAAAGCAAGCTGGAGCTCTGACAAGCCCACAGAGTTTGGAGGAAGATGGTGAAGCCAGAGAAGGAAATAGCAACCCGATCCTGCTTAGAACCAACTTCAAGTCTGTTCTGGGCACAATAAGGAGCCTCTGAAATTAGGGAGTTGGTGTCATAAAGAGCTAATATGACTAGGGAGGCAGGAATAAAGGCAAATATGAAAGATTTTTTAAATAATCAACAGCAGAGTCACACATCTCTTAATATTAAACATATTATGAGAACGTGTTGCTGAGGAATTCCATCCCTGTATGAAGAGCAATAAGTATATTTACACAAACTGAGCTGGCGCAGCCTAGGACACAGCTGGGCTACACTGCATCTACCATCATACAGGCAGCTGATTTCCCAAAACGTTACATGGCCCACATGATTGAAGCAGTTGAGAATTGTAATGAAGATACATAAGCCAGGTAGGGCCAACTGCGGGATTACTAACTTGAGCAGTCATGACGGTGGCCATAAAAGGATGAAGCAGAACTGTTATTTATGAGGGAAATGGTCACTTCAGTTTGAGGTGCACTGCTCGGAAGCACCAGAGTACCACAGAGGAGAGGATTGGGAGATGACTGGAGGCATGGGTCTTAAAGCTCAGCAAAGGTTTGGGCCAGACACACAGACTTGGTGGGTATCGGCAGATGGAAGAAACCGCAGCTGGATGAGGCAAATGCAGCCACTCGCGGCAAGCACACCGAGTGGGCAAAGAGGGCAGTAGACGAATCTGGGCAGTCACATTTTTAGGAATGGTCTGTTGTTCTTTCCATCACCTACTGTGCAGGTTCCAGTCAAGCAAAGAATGACACACACCTTTATCCATCTGGTTTATTTGTCAGTTGCTGGAATTCTGGATCTAGTGGGCTTTCCTTTGTCAATTAAATGGCCACTCAAGAGGCAGGAACACAACTTCATTTTTGGGACCGGGAGACGTATGGAAAGGCTGGGGTGGCAGTGAGAGAGGGATGGGGCTGAGCCCATCAGGAGTAACTGCCTGGCCCTCCCAGGGGGATGACGAAGACCGAGATGTCATCCCCGGAACCCAGCTTGTTGTTGGGGAGACGCCAGCCACGGTCCCGGGGGATGCCCCGGGCCCCCAGGACCAGAGCTTGGGCCAGAGCTGTATACCTGCCAGGAGCACATGTGCGCATTCATGTACCGACATGTGTACAGGAAGACAGAGACAGGCCCATATGTGGGTCTCCAGGCTTTGTTCCCCTTTGTCCCTTCCAGGCAACCCCCTACCTGCTGGGATCATTGGGCTCATAGGCCGACAGCACCTTGTCCACAGTGGCGGCTACCTCACAGTCACTGGTCACATCCCACAGGCCGTCTGTGCCCAGCACTAACACATCATCTGGACAGTGCTCATACTGCGTCAGGTCGTACACGCGTACCTGGGGCGGGAGGGGGGAAATGTGTGAGGTGTGAGGATTGCTCCACAGGGAGGTCGGAGACAAAGCCAGCCTGGGCCTCCTGAAGGGAAGGTGTGCTCACCTCGGGGAAGCAGGAGAGAAAAGGCTTGATGGGCAGAGTGGAGCTGCAGACCTTAAGGTTGTGGTCTCCCAGGCCTCGGGTCACCCCGATGGTGGCCATGACCCGGGCCTGAGGGAAAGGAGAAAAATGACTGCTCTTTAGTTCCTCTCTCGGACTCACGGAGACCATAGACCCCTCCCACACCTACTCTTTGGTGAAACCTCCACCTCCCTGGACAAGCTGTGGTGGGCCTTCATGCCCTCTCCCACCTCCACCACAGGGTTTACCTTTTTGCCCTCCCCACAGACCAGAGGAAACCTGAGATCCTCCAGCTCAATCTTTTTGTAGGCCCTGGGAAGGGAGGAGCAGAGGAGGCATCACCCAGGTGGCAAAGCCCCTAACCCCTTTGAACAGCATTCCCCCACACACAAGGCCTTCCAAGGACTGGCCGTATCCCCGACTCCCAGCCTGCCCCAGCCTGCAGCTTCCACCTCACTGCTGGTGAAGGACTGGTTGCATTGCCATGGGAACGGCCCCAGCTCCGAGGGAAGTGTTACCAGCCAGTCATATTCTGGTCCCTGTACAGCATCCTCTGCCCCAGCTCCTTGGGCTGAACTCTTCGGGGGAACTCCAGGTGGGTGAACTCACTGCCTAGCAGTTCTGGTTTCAGGAAGCCCTGAGGTTAGGAGGGGCCAGACAGGAGAGAGGGCATTACACCCATATGACACTCTGATACAACACAGAGCTGTTAAACTATAGCCGATCCTTCCATTGTACTGCAGACTTCTCCTCTAATATTAAACAAGTTAACCCATTCACCCCTCACAAAGGCCTGTGAGGCAGGAATCATAGTCACACCATTAGCAAAGTACACAAAGCAGGGTTCAGTCCCAGGCAACGCAGACAGAGAACCCACAAGAGGACGCTCGAAGGTAACGCCCTTGCTGGAGCCTTTGTTGTTCCCACCCTCCACCTCTGGCTCTGCTTCCTTCCTCAGCAGGGCCGACAAATGGCAGCGCAGACCTCTTCCTGTTGCATCACCCAGCACTCCACAGCCCACTTCCCGGGACAGTCCCAGTAGGTAGCTTTCTGGTACGGAAAGATGTAAGAGTAAACCTGGCCCCTACTTACAAGCAGCTGAAGACGCTGGCGCTCAGTCTCTGGTGTGAACTCCCGGGACATTGGAATGATTTCACCATTCCGGATAATGATGGCCCTGCCCAGAGACAGACGAGGCTTGAATCTGACTTTCTCAGACCCCTTCGTGGAGAATTCCAGAAGGATCAGACCCTCCCCATAATGAACCTGATGGGGCTTCACTCGGGCCCTCACCTTTTCTTCCCTTGTAGATAGTTCCAACCTTGCCTTAGCGCTGTCACGGCCCCACCCACCCCACCCCTCGAATCTTTTATACCTGACCCACTGCCACCTGACTGTCTGCTTCCCCATCATCCTGGAGAGCGTGGCCCCTGACATGGCCACTCACCTGCTGTCACCTGCATTGGCCACATACATCTTGCCTAGCAGGTACACCACGACCAGCGCACAGCAGCCCCCCTCCACTTGGTGGCCACGCCGCTCCCGAGCCATCTGCTCATCCTGCCAGGTGAGGAAGGGTCAAAGGGGTCACTCACCTGCCTCTGCAGGCCAGAGTGGGCGAGAGAAGGACCACAGAGGGTAACAGGACCAGGTTCTGCTCAGGCTTTCAGAGGTGGTGTGGATTCTGGGGGCCACCCATCCACTGACTCCCACCACACAGTGTTGACGGGCACAGGCCACCCACCCACTCACCATGAGCTGGAAGGCATTCTCGATGGCCCCTACTACCAGGCTCTCGTGGGTGACTTCCTTCTGTGGAGACCAGCAGGCCTGAGAGCCGACCACGTGTGACGGATCTGAGAAACCTGGGGTTCCTGGAGTGGATGGGAGACAGAGGGGAGGTGGCAAGGGGTCCTGAAGTATTTCTACTAGATCCTTCAGCTGCTCCCGGATGTGGCGATGCAAGAGCCGGGAAGCCATTTCAGCGGCTCCGCCACCAGCATGCCCGTCAAACAGGCCCCAGTAGTAGAAGCAGAGTCCCTGGTGAAGGAAAAGTCGGAAGTCAGTGGGGGACAAGGGTGACAGGGCAGAACAAACCAGTAAGCACCCATATAAAAATCATATAGGAGATCTGAGTGTAATAGTAAGGTAAAAGATTTATTCACTTATTCATGCAAGGCCTACTGTGTCAAGAGAAAGAAAAGGCAAATTCAAAATATGAAGGATCCAAAGATCAGCACTGATGATTAGTTAAATCATCCATAAATACATGAGCAGCTATGTTTTAAATGGAATAGTAAACATTCACGTGGAACTAATCTAATTGAAGCCACTTAGAGCTTCTGTGATAGAGATAGAACCTCTACACCTCTTGGATTTAGAACCAGGGCCCAAAATCCCTAGGGAGGGGTGTCACCACATCTCTGGAGGTTAGGAAAGAGGATAAAATATTACCTGGTTCCGGGGAGGCTCCCTGGAGGCCCCAGAAACACCCCTCCGGCTTTCCACATACACGACTTCACAGCAAGCCTGGTCCTCATTGTGCCTGCTCTTGCCAGCATTGATGACCCTGGCAGGCCAGAGAGGGTCCCACATCAGGTTAGACACCAGCCTAGGTCCTGGAATAACCCCACCTTAGACACACACACATCCTCTCCTGCCTGCTGGCCAAGCTGAAAAAGGTCACAGCTGCCTGGGCTTCCAGCCAGAGGGAAGAGGAGAAGGCGGGGCCAGCGAGAAGTAATGTCTGGGTGGCAGAATGTACCACCTCATAGAAACTGCCTGTCTCAGTTCCTTCATCCTTGGGCAAAGGAGGCTTTCTGGAAGGTGGTGCTGGGGGGTGTGGCCAGACAGGAGCAGTAAGTTTTACTTCCCTACTAATCAAAAATTTACATTCCTACCTCTAGTCTCAACCAACTCTGCCAGCGATTCTTGAGCACATCCACCCTCACCCTAAAACCACCCAGTGAAAGTTCCGATCTCTTTTGTAGTGTGGAAGTGCTCCAGCCCAAGTGGGGTAAGAGGAAAAGAAGGTCTACCTGGACTGGGCAAGAGTCTCTTAGCTATAGACTCCTTCCACGTGGGAAGCCGAGAGAGGAGGTGAGGGTGAGGGGCCACCCACCATTTCCCTCCACGACCTCAGTGCCCCCATGTCCCTGGTGGCTTGACTCGGTTTTTCCCGAAGATGCATTGAAAAATATTCATGTTTTCGGAGCACGCTGACGCTCGGCCGGTGCGAACCAAAGGGGTCTATTTCCTTGCCCTACCAGCATCTGTCTGTCTGCAGACCGGCATCCAAAGGGAACCATCACGGGCCGAAGGCGGACCCCTCCCCCGCCCCGGGAAGCCGGCGGCCTTCTGGTGTTGCGGGCTATTTCTGGGTGTGGAGGGGGAGGGGACCGGTAAGAAGGACTTGGAACTGGGGCGCTGGGGCCAGGAAGCGAGTGAACTAGTCTTTCCACCCGTGATCACCCGTGAAGGAGGAACTGCTCCTTCTCGAACCTCCCCTCCCTTAGCCTGTGAACCGCAAGTGGCGACTGTGAACCGGCCAACTCATCGTCGGTGCGCCATGCCTTCTCCCTAGGAGGGGACTGTCCTGAGCCGGCGAGGGGGAGGGTGGGAAAGGTCCTGAAGAAGCCTATTGAGGTTGCACCCCGTCCGAGAGAGGTCTGGAAGGGTGAAGACTCCTGGGAAGGTCCCCGGAAAGTCGTGCGGGGGACGCATCCCAGTGGCCGGGACGCGTCTCCTGGGAGGGTAGGAGTCCCATCCTCAGCTGGGAGACCAGGGGTGCTCACTCGGCATAGCCTGTGCTCCAGGGCAGGCGGCGACCGGTGTCGGGGGGACTTTGCACAGCCCGGCCAGTGTGGTCGTCAGCGCGTCGCAGCCCCCCGGGGCTCAGCTGAAGAAAGGTGGGTCTGGAGAAGCTCGCCCGAGTCTCTGCGGTCTTCAGGGGTGCCCTGACCTCGCTCCCAGGCCTCGCCGGGGGGCTCTTAGGCTTTTCTGAGGCGGCAGGCGGCGTGGAGCTCTCGTTGGGCAGATCGGGAGACTTAGGGCGGTGGGGCGGAGTGCCACCCGAGCTCACCAGGTGCGCCACAGCCGAGCGCACCCGGTTTAGCATGCTGCCTCCCTGCCCCGCCCTTGGCCTTGGCCCCGCCCCCTAAGAGGCCCCGCCCCTAGGACTCCAAGTAGGTGGTGCCCTCTCTTGATCCAGGCCAAACTTCCCCAGGCTCTAAATCTTGCGGGAACTGCCCCCACCAACTCCCCGCCTCTTATCGGCATCCCGTTGTCGTTCGGCCAGAGTGTCACAGGGGAAGGGGTCTGTTGTGGGAAGGAAGCGGAGAGAAGGAAATATTTCAGTCGTTCTGTAGGTTAGACATCCGCTAAATCTAATCCGTTAGAATTTACCTATTGTGACAGGGGTGGGCAAGGCAGCCTCCTCGCGTTCCGTTCGGGGTGGCCAGCCAGCATGGAAGCTTTGGAGCTGATGACTTCAGAGCGAAACATCCACTTGGTTGTGAAGCACTTGGTGCGATAACACCTCAGGCTGTAGCTGTTGAATTGAGAGGAGAGGAGGAGAGAATGGGAGGGGGGAGAGGAGGGGAGGGGAGGGGAGAGAGAGGGAGAGAGAGGGGGGAGAGGGAGAGAGAGAGAGAGAGAGAGAGAGAGAGAGAGAGAGAGAGAGAGAGAGAGAGAGCAGCGCTATACAAGCCCGGCAGCTGACCTCTCCAGGTCGGGAGTCCTGGGACAAAATCCTGGGCACTGTTCTGTCAAAGGTCACCTTCACATTCTAGAGAATGATTGTCACCCCCATCCCACTTTCCCAGAACGTTTCCTCCATATTTAGACTTCTGCTGGCCAGTTAGTTCAAAGGCTAATGGCATAATAAATAACTGCAATTATTGAGGACTTGCTGCACAAACACCACAGTGTGGGTCACACCCATTTTACAGATGAGGCGGGAGTGGACAGTCGCCTGTTATTTTATTAGACTTGCCCAAGAATCACACAGCCACTTAGAGAGCCATGCACATGTCAAAACCTGTTTCGATGCTAGTTTCTCTAGATTAGGAAGAAAGGCTCAGAAGGGAGCGGGAATCCTAAATTCCCACCCCTCAGAGGCTCCAGCAGAGCCCTGGTGCTGAGCAAGGTCTCTGGCTACCGCCAGGGGGAGACAAAAGCCAGTTTAAAAGCTTGTCTGGGTTGCAGGCAAGCCCACTGTTAGAACAGAGCTGGACCCAGCTCAGGTGGGCTGTTTTTCTGCCTTCCCGGTGGGAGAGGGTTACTGTCCTGCTTCCGAAAGCGGTCTGCCCCTACACTTTGGATTAGAGAGTCGATCATGTCCCCGTCTATCCCCAACATACGGCTCCACAGAAGTCAAGGCCCTTGAGGGAAGGAACCACAGTTCATAGCTGTAATTCGACCTGCAGGCTCCCAGTTGGTGCTTCCTGCTCATACCCTGGGATAACCTGCACCTCCCCAAAGAGGTGGTCATCTTGACCACTTCTAAATAAAAATTCTGCAGTGGTCATTCAAACAAAGTACACAGACCTGCTGAAATTATGCCCGAGTTTTGGGGAGAAAGATGAGGTCACCGGGGTGGAGCTGGGGTGCACTGGTTACAATTCAGACTCAAAACCAGCAGCAAAGGCGTCCAGGGACAAAGAACAGACTGCCACTACGGGTGTTTTCTTCATGTTTGAGAAAAACTGAAGCCAACTGTTTGATAAATTCCATAGTCTCGGTGGGAAGCCAAAGACTGGAGGAAGAAAAAATAACCTCTGGTTTTATTATTCGGTGTTTCTGGGACAGCTTACCTATCACTTTCCGGTGCCATCCAGCTTCCTGGCTCTCCACAGCATCTGTGATGTGGCCACCAAAATGGGCCACAGAGCTAGGGCCTTTCGACCCCTGAGGTCAGTTGCTCCCCTGTTCCCTGGAACCATTCTGGCCATTCTGGCTCCCATCCATAACCAAATTTGAGGATTCTCAGACCTCTGAAGTTCCCACCTATTCCTGGACCATCACACCTTTTCCATCCTGACTTCTCCACACCTGGTGAGAGGTCCTCTCCCTGAGGCAGTAGAAGGTGAGAGGAAAGGGGCGGGGGGGGGGGAAGCAAAGCAGGAAACGCACATTTATGAGATGTGTTCTCTCCTGGGAGCTGAGAGATATCCCTCAGTGGCAGAGGAGAACCAGGCCTGAGCCACAGAGGGAAACAGAGCATCCTCAGAACAAGCCCTCTTAGTCAGGCATGGTAGCACACATCTGCAATCCCAGGAGGCAGAGGCAGGAGGATCAGAAGTTAGTAGCTAGCCTGGGCTACATGGTAAGTTCAAGGCCAGCCATGGCTACATATTGAGACTTTGTCTTTAAGAGGCAAGGGCAATGACTTAGGTAAAGGTGCCAAGCCTGATGACCCCGGTTCGATCACCAGCACCTACACAGTGGAAAGAGAGAGAGTGAAAGAGAGGGGAGACCCCACCTCCTGTCCCAGTCTGTGTGCTCAGGACCTGGAACCAGGCTTATTCTTTGTTTCTCCTCTACACTTTACCACCTCCCCAAATCTTCCTTACGATAACAGGTGATCACCTCCTTCCTGTGAGGAGACAGATTCACAAATCACCTCTGCCCTCAAGTGTTTAATGCATCCAAAATATGAACCTGTTGAAATTTTGTAATTAGGATTACTTACCATTCTTCTGGTGAAGACACTAGAAACCTCGGATGTGGTTCCCAAGATGAAAGTCATATTTGGTATTCACAGGGTCATTCGCCAGCCTCTTGATGCCCTCCAGTCTGGTTCACCACCCTGGTACTGCCCCTAGTCCTTCTGGGTAGAAGGGCAGACCTTCTGTGCTGGAAGAATTTAATGTAATTCCCTTGTGGTATCAGATGGGAAACCCTGTGGTAAAGAACTTGGTGCAACATCAGAATCTTCCAACACAGTGGTCCTAGCTTCCTAGCCTGGAAAACAGCTCAAATAACACCGCAATGTCCTAACAAAGAAATGGGTTTGCTCCCCTTCACTCTCTCCTCCCTTCATTTTTTTTTTTTTTTTTTTGATTTTTTGAGACAGGGTTTCTCTGTAGGTTTTTGGTTCCTGTCCTGGAACTAGCTCTTGTAGACCAGGCTGGCCTCGAACTCACAGAGATCCGCCTGCCTCTGCCTCCCCAGTGCTGGGATTAAAGGCGTGCGCCACCACCGCCCGGCTCTCCTCCCTTCATTTTGAGATATGGTCTGGCTAAGCAGCCCTCGCTGGAATGGAACCCCGTGTAAACCGTATAGACAAAGCTGTCCTCAAACTTGCAGGCAACCTCCTGCCCCTCCTCTGTCCCTATCTCTGCTTTTTTTCCTCCCTTTGGATAGGGTCTCACACTACAGCCCAGGCTGCGCCAGAATTCGTGACAATTCTTCTGCCTCAGTCTCCCAAGTTCTGGGATTATATGTGTGAGCTGCTCTGCGTGGTCTGAAGAACTGGATTTTAAGATTTAAGGAGCTCAGATTTAAATATTAGCCTACAGATGGTGTAGGTAAAGACAACTCCTAGCCCCAACGCCCACCCGAATCCCTACCAGAACACCACCTAACTCCCTTGAACCACAGGGCTGGGGGCCACATTCCTGGAGGTTTCAGGGACCTGTTTCTAATTGTCGCGTCCGTGAATACAGAGCCCGTGGGCTTCTACCCCTGATCTCGCCCTGCGCCACCAGAGGCCGCTGCGTACCAGTTGCGCTCATCCTCCCCGCAGAGCGCCCCACGCTGTCTCGAAGGAGGCAGCGGTACCCGCAAGGGTTGAAGCAGCAGGGACGACTCCCAAGACAAGCGGCTGCGCGCTCGCCAGTCTGAAGGCCGCAAGCTCTGGAGGACCCGGCTGACCTCTCCCTCCTCTCAGGGCTGGTGGGTCCAGGCCCGGAGCATCCCGGTGCTCAGAGCCGAGTTCACTGGGATGCCGGCTTAGCCATTGCCCTGTTCTCCTGGGGCACAGCAACTTGATAACGACTGATCGATCACAGACGGAGCTCGGGACCAGACAACACCCGACCTGGCAACTCCGGGGAAGAGCCCGCCTCTGTGAGTCTCGATCACAAGCTCAGAGGCATCAAAGACCTCAGGCCAGAAGGTTGAACCAGGACCACTGCTCTGGAGCAGGTGGGTACCAGGATTAAGAATGGGCGCTGAAAGGGGACAGGAGCAAGCAAAGCAAGGTCAAATGTTGTTGCTGACCCCTTGCAGGCAGCTCTTTCAGCATCACCTTAGTCTGAATTGGAGAATGGGGAAAACAGCCCAAGGAAACTGAGGTAGACGCTGAAGAGCAAATCCCAGAAGCCTCGTCCTCCAGCACCGAAGGAGGAGAGAATAGAATGCCCGAAATCCTGAGTCCCCATCTCCCCCAAGTCTCTGAGCATTGAAGTACTTAGGAGAAATACCTGAGTTGGATGGGACCCTGGGAACTCCCAGAAAGAAATAGGATGTCACCAAGAGAAGAACGGTGTTTGCAATAGTCAAAATGAGCCCCCTCCCCGCCACCTGGCACAGACTGGAAGGGGAAACCCACTCGGAAAAGAGGCAAATCTAGAAGGGTGGAAACACACCCACCCTCTCCACCACCCTCGTTCCCCTCTCTAGGCCTTTCCAGAGCTCGGCCACTTGTGTGTTTCAGTATTACTTCTCAGTGGAGACTGGGTGAGGACAGGACCTTGGGGGAGAATGGAGAAGCTCTTGTGGGCTGTGCACTGAAGCTGAGACCTGTTGCGCCGCTAGGCTAGCCCTCTGGAAGGACAGTTGTAGAATTAAGCCAGCTCCAGAAGAGTCCTGGAAGCCAGGCTCATGATGGGTTGGAGGTGGAGGCAAGGGGAATTTGGAGACCTCGGGATTCTCCCCCAGGGAAGACAAAGCTGTCAGACTTTGCATGATTCTCTGACCTATCTCTGTCCCAAGACCAGAGAGACGACAGCCCTGGTCCTTATAGCCTCTTACCTCTGTCTGCTTCACTCCTGGGAAAAAGGAAAACCCAGCCTCTCGTTTCAGGTCACCTCCCCCTCAGCTTTCCATAGTCTGGGGGAGAAGGGCAGGGGAGTAGGGACAGATCCCCAGAGCAGAAATAACTGCCTTTGCCACAAGAACAGCCTAAGCTGTCCATCCCAATCCCTTATTCTCATCCAAGTCCAAGCTTTCTCTTAGCTTCTGCAGGGGTCTGGCCTCTCTCTGTTATGAAGTTACCTCCAAATTGCTCCCTACTTATCCAGGTGGAATGAGTCTGAGACCAGCAGATGCACAGACAGAAGCCTAAAGACTCCAGGAACGGTAAGTGAGACAGCTGGAGATATCTCCTCCAAGGGAGCAGCTATGTCTCTTGGTCTGGCCCCTGGTATTCCTAGTCTGAGCTGGCACTTGCTGGGGCCAGTGATCTAGGCCAACCCTTGACCTCCAGACCTCCTGGGGCTCTTCCTGTCCTCATCTGTGGCTAGTTTCTCCCAGCGCCTTTGTGCTTCCGTTTCCCTGTTTCTCTCTGGTTCTTACCCACCCTCTGGTATAGACGTCTGAGGTCCTGTTTGGTTCCCAGGAGAAAGGAGGAAGAGAGCAATGAGCCTAGGGTAGACTTCTGGGTCCCAAGTTTGCGTGCTGTCAACCTCGAGCAAAACATTTAACTTCTAGCCCAGGCTTGTCTCTTCCTTCTTTCCTTTATTTAGTTTAGTGTGTGTGCAGGGTGTATGCACGTGTGCACCCACGTGAAGGCCAGGGGAAGCTGTCTAGCAGAGGCCTCCTGCCCTGTTACTCTCCACCTTACTCCCTTCAGACGGGGTCTTTCCCTGAATCCATCACTAGGCTGTCCAGTGATCCAGGGATCTTTTTACATCGTCTAGATTTTTACATCTGTGTTGCTATTCTCACATTTGCTCAGCAAGTCCTCTTACTCACTGAGCCATCCCCCTCAGCCCCGTGTTTTGCTTTTGTTTGTTTGAGATGGGATCTTCCTATTTAGCCCTGGCTAGCTTGGAGCTCACTGTGTAAACCAGGCTGGCCTCACACTACCAATGATCTCCCTTTGCTGCTACCTCTAAAGTGCTAGGATTACAAGCATTTCTCTCTCTCTCTCTCAAAAATTTAAATCATGAGCCGGGCGGTGGTGGCGCATGCCTTTAATCCCAGCACTTGGGAGGCAGAGGCAGGCTGATCTCTGTGAGTTCGAGACCAGCCTGGTCTACAAGAGCTAGTTCCAGGACAGGCTCCAAAACCACAGAGAAACCCTGTCTCGAAAAAAAAAACAAAAAAAATTTAAATCATATCAGATTGAATTGCACTGCTGCTACAGTCCCACGATTTGAAACTCAAATACATAAAAAGAAAGAAATTGGTGGGAAAAAATAATTCTTCCTCCTACTTCCATCTTCTAGACAAGAAACAAATTTCCCTTTTTAATGGCAAACAATGCACACTTTCCGGACATGGTGTGTACGTATTAAGTAAAACACGCCCTGCCGTGTGTGTACACACCTCCTGCTTGTTGTCCCCCCCTCCCCCATAAGACTGGATTCTCACTAGAGTCTACCGCACACATCATTGCAAAGTTCTTGGATGGTTTTGGTTGTGTTGTGTTGTGTTCTGTATTCCCAGCAGTTTGGAGGGAACACATTTTCAGATTCTCCACAGTGTCCTCCGCTCCTTGGCTGACGCCTGTGGGGGTCATAGCCAAACTTTTTGAGCTTTATTTGTAACATGGGCAATGGCAATCCTTTGTGCAGCAGAATGCAGTCAAGAGCACACAAGTGAGGTGTCTGGATGGAGAGCTCAAAAAGTGGGAGTCAGCATCATTGTCTCCCACATGGCACAGCCCTTTAGTTCGCTCTGCAAAATCTCTTAAATGTCTCCTCCACAGGCCCTGCCTTCCTGTCCCCTGGTCCTTCTGTATCACTCGTCGCCTCCCACAGTGGCATCTTTTCTAGCTGCAAGCTGCCTGGGGACAAGGTACGCATTCTGTTACCCTTGGGGCTTCTAGAGCAGGGCACAGAGAAGGGGCTGAACCTGAGTGCAGGGGACCATCTGCCCTGAGCTAAGCGGGGTATGTACTTCTCTCCATAGGATGAGTGAGCGGACCACGAGCAACTGGAGCCCAGGCAGCTGGGTGCTAGCGCTGTGCCTGGCCTGGCTGTGGACACGGCTGGCCTCTGCTTCCTTGCAGCCTCCCACAGCCACAGGTTTGGGGAAGGTGGTGAGAGACTAGAGAGGACTTTCCTAGGACATCTGGAGAGCTAGAAGGCACTCCACCCCACCCCACAAAGCAGGCAGATCTCTGGGGCAGAGTAAACTTTGCAGAGGTGACTCCTCTGGCCACCACCCAGGAAACTGCCCTCTTCTGCGGCCCGGTCCAGAGAAGGTCTGGGTAGACACATTGGTACTATCCTTTCCAGAGGGAAGGTGCTCTACAGTGAGAGGCCCTCGGTGGAGGCTTAAGTCTAGTCTCCTGGCCTAATTCTGGGGTTTTCCTTCTGGGATGGCTAAAGCCTCTGTAAGCGGATGATCCTCCCCCACGCATTGTAAGCCCTGGGGCCCTTGCCCTCACCCTGAGAAAGTGGAAGGTGGGGGCTGGTGTGTAACTCCAGCTTTCAAAGAGTCATGAGTGTGGCCTCAGTGGGGTGGGGTGGGGTAGGGAGGTAACACAAGGTTTCATCTGCTCTTCTCTCTTTTACCTTTAGATAACTCTCTCTCTCTCTCTCTCTCTCTCTCTCTCTCTCTCTCTCTCTCTCTCTCTCTCTCTCTCTCTCTCTTTCTCTCTCATCTGTCTCTCTCTGTCTCTCTCTCATCTGTCTCTCTCTGTCTCTCTCTCATCTGTCTCTCTCTCTGTCTCTCTGTCTTTCTCTCCTTTCTCTCTGTCTGTCTCTCTGTCTCCTCTCTCTCTCTCTCTCTCTCTCTCTCTCTCTCTCTCCCTCTCTCTCTCTCTTTCTCTCTCATCTGTCTCTCTCTGTCTCTCTGTATGTGTGCATGTTGAAAGTATGAACTGAGCCCGCGCCTCTGTGCTAGGAAACACTACCCCTGAGTTGCATCCCCAGCTCTGGGTACCTCTTAAATGACCTAGGAGGAGAAATTGGGAACCTGCACCTGGGTGGGAGGGAGGAGAGCAGGTTGGAGGCCTGCATCTCCTGACCTTTCTTCCCCTGCTGGCCCATTCAGTCCTGGTAAAGCAGGGCACCTGTGAGGTGATCTCTGCGCATCGCTGCTGCAACCGGAACCGCATCGAGGAGCGCTCCCAGACTGTCAAGTGTGCCTGCCTCTCTGGCCAGGTGGCGGGCACTACAAGGGCAAAGCCCTCTTGCGTGGATGGTGAGTGTATGGCCAGGCCCTGCGCAGCCAGGTGGGTAAGGAGGCCCAGAGCAGAGATAAGAAAGTCTGTTTAGGCCTCCCCATCTGCTGAGGATCCAGTTTCATAGCCATCTTGGGGTTTACCTTATCAGTCTCAAGTAATGGAGATCGTCTTGGAGGAGAGGGCAGACATGACCTGCCCTGTGTCCTAGAGGAAGAAAGCTCTGGTTACAGGCCACACACACCTGCCATCTGGTTCACACGCACAGGGATGCATTCCCGCACACTAGTTCCTCGGCCCACATCTTCCCCCAGAGAGGTCTTCTATGAGCCCCCTCTTATTTCCAGCCTACCTGTGCCTTCTCCTTAGGGTCACATGTGATCCCTCATATGGTACACCCACGTCCCTTCCTTTCTGCCCACACCTGCGTTCCCACGCTCTGGCAGCATCTGGATCACCATGCTTACCCTCGCTAGCCCGCATGCCAGCTTCTACACTCCTGGACGTGGCTTGGACAGCAGTTTGTATGCACTAAGGAGAGTACTGACGGTGGTACCTCTCTGCTAGGGACAGCTGCCTCAGACTCAGCATCACCTGCCTCCCAGCTTGGTGTCCTTCTGCCTTCTGGGTGTGAGGCAGTGAGGAAGTTGATTGGGATAGTCCCCGGCCCTCAGCCTAAGTACAGTGCTGCCCCCTTGGACAGCCCAGGTTAGGGGGAAGAGAAGGAAAGTTGGTCATCAAAGCTCAAGCTATGTGGGCAGGTACATCCCATTCCCAGACCAGCTGTGGGGTTCTCCCAGAGCCTAGAGCCTCACCTGCCTCCCGCCCCACAGCTGCCATCGTCTTGCAGAAGTGGTGGTGTCAGATGGAGCCCTGCCTGCTGGGGGAGGAGTGCAAGGTGCTCCCGGACCTGTCAGGGTGGAGCTGCAGCAGTGGACACAAGGTCAAAACCACCAAGGTATTGGAGTGGGTGCTTCATCCTCCCCGCCTGTTCCCCTTTCACCTGGGGCAGCACAGGGGCCAAGCCCTGGAGGGCCAGGACGGCAGCGCCATGAGATGGGCGGCATGTGACCCATAAGAACACGTTCCAGACAGTCTCCTGAGTCTGTCTCCACTCTAGGCACTGCTGCCAAGGGTGCGGTTTGCCCTTATTGGCAAAGCTGACGTTCTGCCTGCCTTGGCTTTCTCCTCTTTGCTTAGCATGGGTTTACTACTAGAAAATATCAGGCCTTTAAAAAGAAAGTAGAGCAGGCCCTAGTGGCACACATCTGGAATCTTAGCACTCAGAAGGAAGGTCAGGGGTTCAAGGGTATCCTGGGCTACATATACCTGTCTTAAAAAAAAACAAAGAGGGCTGGAGAGATGGCTCAGTGGTTAAGAGCGGTGCCTGCTCTTCCAAAGGTCCTGAGTTCAATTCCCAGCAACCACATGGTGGCTCACAACCATCTGTAAAGAGGTCTGGCGCCCTCTTCTGGCCTTCAGGCATACAGCCAGGATATTGTATACATAATAAATAAATAATTAAAAAAAAAAACAAAGAAAGAGAGAGAGAGAGAGAGAGAGAGAGAGAGAGAGAGAGAGAGAGATTGCCTAAGGGAGGAAAAAGTGGAGACCTAGGAAATTCCCTAGGCCACTCAGGGAGGAATTTTTTCTAATATCTGAATTCCAGACCCAGTAACCACTCTGCCTGCCACCTCTGCCGCGGACTGTCCCCTGTCACTTACACTGCTCTTACGGCCATTAACTCCCCGTAGTTCCTACCTGCCCTCCTCTGGTCAAATTGATCTGTCCTCAGTGACAGCAGCCAAGAAGATTATTATCACCATGGCTCGCTGCCTGCCCCACAAAACAGGGGGGCAATTAAAATTTAATCAAACTCTTTAGCAGTTCCATGTGTGCCTTGGCTAATTAGTTGCATGTCGTTGTCATCGTCGTCTGTGCAAATGAGTGACAGGCCAAGGCAGTGTCTCTGACCCTGTCCCCATCGTGCACAGCAAGAAGGTTAACAAACAGAAGCAAAAACAGGTTCTAGGATTCTGAGAGGGGGGGGGGGGTATCATAGCACACGTAGCTAGCTACAGCAAGAGACAGTTTGGGGGCTGGAGAGATGGCTCAGTGGTTAGGAACACTCTTGCAGAGGACCAAAGTTAATTCCTTGTACCCTCACGGCAGCTCACAACTATCTATAACTCAGTCCTAAAGGATCCGATACCCTTATGTGGCCTCCCTAGGCACCAGGCACACATGTGGTGCACAGACATTCATTCAGATACAACACCCATATGCACAAAACTTAAAAAAAAAAAGGAAGGGGGCTGGAGAGCTGACCCAGTGGTTAAGAGAATTGGCTGGTCTTCCATAGTTCCTGAGTTCAATTCCCAGCAACCACATGGTGACTCACAACCATCTATAAAGTTGGATCTGAAGCCCTCTACTGACATAAAGTCATATAAGCAGGCAGAGCACTGGCATACAATAAAATTTTTTTTAATTAAAAAGAAAGAAAGAAAGAAAGAAAGAAAGAAAGAAGGAAAGAGAGAGAGAGAGAGAAAGAAAGAAAAGAAGAGGGTTTGGCTGATTAGAAGACTGGAAAGCCTGTCTATAGGCAGCAAAGGGAGACAGACATTCTGAGATGCTTATCAAGACTTGCAAAGTGGGACCCATCACAGAGCTTGGGACATTTGCCATACTGTTACAGGGTAGGGTTTGTGGCCTAAAAGGTAGATCACAACCTTTGCAATTTGTGTAGTGACTCAGAAGCAAACAGTGGTGACACTTGTCTGAGTGACGTCAGCGTGGACCACCAGGCCACCGTGTCCAGCTTGGATGGCTTTAGGAGACCAGCAGCAGTGACCTCTAAGTGATTTGCATGACCCAGTGCTCTCTGGTATGCTACAAAGGCTGACTCTCTGTTGATTTCTCTAACCTTCTAACCACTTGCTTTCTAGGTCACACGATAACCCTCGGGGTCTTGGCTTAGATAGGACAGTCTGGATTGTCTTGATTGTCTGGATTGAAGAATGACTTCTGGTCACACCAGCCAGCAGATGTGAGGACTCATTTACCCAGACATGTAGTCCCATGTGCCCCATGTCAAATGCAACATCAGACTGGCAAGTTAGTCTGCTGCTTAGCAGAAATGCTTGTATCTTCGGTACATACTTAAGATATGTGCTCTCTTATGAACAAAGGCGTAATCCTGTCCTTAAGGAATATCTTGTCAAGTTAGGGAGTGGATGACAGACATCAAACAGTTTAAAGTGTGTGGTACCATGGCCTCTGAGCTACCTGCCATGGGTGTGGTGGGGATGGGTGGATGAGAGTCTCATTGATCTTTGACTGTCTCCTGATCACAAGACACAAAGTCATGAAGTCCTGCACCCCCGGCAAGATGCTAAGATGTTAAAGGAGACACTGTCCCCTGATGCCAAGCCAGGGGAATCTATTTTGTCAGTGCTGGAAAGTAGAGATGAGTTCCAACAACTCCTTAGCCCAGCTCTGTAGAGGCAGGGTGTGTGGCTCACACCCTTTGCTGTCCAAGGGATGGACAGGTCCTTGGGACCATCCCCACCTGAACTTCATGTGGTTTTTGTTTTTGCTTGTTTTAGTGGATGAGGAAACTGAGTCATAGAGGGATGTGATGGCTTGTCCAAGATCTCACAGTCCGAGCTTCCAAAACTCAGATGCTGAGATTCCAGGCTGTCTTCATGGTAATTTAATGTAGAGAGCGGAACCCTGCAAACACTGTCTAAATAGCAGCAGCATGTTTCCTGGGAGATGGGACTTTGAGTGAGGCCACTGATCTCCCATCCACAAAAGTCCAGAATTCTACACACTGCAGAGTGGGGTACATCTCAGTCCCCCAGATCCAACCAGTCCCCACGATAGCCCAGAGGTCACTCGGCTCAGTTGCAGCTGTAGCACTGTGAGCTGGCATTCGTTGCCCTCTGGCACTTCTCTTCTGAGAGCCTCAGCCATCTCCCTAGATAGGTACCTGGAAGGCAGCGAGTTAGGCAGAGTACAGCTCAAAGTTGAAGGTCTTCAGGTTGGCCTGATAGATGGCTTGGGAGTAGCATCCCGGCTTACACTCCTCATCAAGGCCTTAGGGAGTGGGGTGTGTTAGAGACCAGCCTGGACGATGCCCCATCCCTGAGAAGGCAAATCAGGGATAGTTTAGGATGGAGTCTTAGCTTCCCCTATCTCCCTAAGCATTTGACTAAGACTCTGATATCACCCCATCTCGGGGCTTATTTTTGTTTTTGCTAAATGAGATGAGCAGTAATGTTAAGTTCAGAAGGCAGGCCTCTAACAGTCTCTGCATACAGCAGGACCACAGGCTAGGGCGCCCATGAGAGGCCAAAGGCTGTCACAGTCTCCTTCCACACTGAAGAGTGGAGGTCGGAGGACAGGTGGAGGGGTTGGCAAATATTTTCTGGAAAGAGCCGGAAAATGAATCTGCTATATTCTGCGGACCACATTGAGTCTCTGTGACATATCCTTTGTTTTGTCTTGTTGTGTTTTAAAAACATTTCAGAGCTGTCAATGCCACCTTGAGCTCTAGGGTGGAAGAAACACCTTGTGACCCATTTCAGGTGTTTGTCACCCCTGACACCCGAGGGACAGCTGAAGGCCTGGGACGGCCTCTCATCCTCCTGGCTTGCCCTCTGGGCCCTGGAAACCTGAGCACAGGGTGAGGGCTGGCTTTGTTTTTCTCCTAATGCGCAGGGAGAGATGGGCGGGTGAATTATTCAGGTTACAAATGAGACAGCTTTGGTGGAGCAGACACGAAAGCCCGCTTTCCTGGAGGTCGGAAGGCAGGTTCTGCAGGCTGCTGTGGAGCCTAGTGACGGAACGCTGGGAGAAAAGGGGGGCTCTCTCGTCCCTCCTTCCTGGACACTGTCAAGGTCTTGCTTCAGCACCCCCCCCCCACACACACACCAGCTGTGCCATCCATGTGAGCTGGGGTTGGAGTGGGAAGTGTGGAGGTGATGCCCACAAACTCCTGAGAGCTACCAGCTTCCCGCAGCCCCCACCTGCCTTAGTGTCCTGATTCTGTACCTCCCTTGGCCCCCAATTCATTGTGTAAAGTCCTCCAGGCCTTCCCTGCTCCTGACCTGGCCATGAGGTTGAGTTTATTTGGTAAACTCTGAGGTGTCTGTGTATGACCAGGAGAGCACCCCATAAGAAGGTCTGGCAAAGAAGAGAAACTGTTCTGCCTCCCCACCTCAAGCTCCCCAAAATTCCGTATCCAACCAAGTCCAAATCTATCTGTGTCTTGTAGCTATCCAAATAACAGTCTAGAAATAAATGAGTTTTCTCGGACCATGAGGTTCCTGGAGTCAGTTTTCTCCCTCTTTGGTGAAGGCACTTCAGAGCCTCTGAAGTTCGCCGGAACCCCGAGACCCTCAGCTCCACAGGCCTTAGGGAAGTTGACAACTTTAAATCACGTCACTGATGACTGCTGGCCTCCTGGCAGTTTCATTAAAGTCTGTGAGTGACATTCTGGGTAATAACCCCAGACAGCTCCACAGCACTGAGACTGCAGCTCCCTAAAACCACAGAATTACAGCTGCGAGGTGTTTGAGAAGCCAGCTAGCCAACCCTTGCATTTGCCAGCCGAGGAGAGAGTAGTTCAGGAAGGTTAAGTAATTCGGTCACACGCAGTCACACAACAAGCTGATGGCATGCCCTGCCCAGCGAAGCAACACTGAGTTCTTCCCACCATTATGTATCCCGTTTTGTACCCCGGAATGGATGGGGACTGAGAAGGAAGACAGGGTGAGAGTCCCACTCTAGAATCACCCAAAGCTGGGAGGGCAAGCAATAGAGGGGAGAGGAAAGGGTAGAGGAATGGGAACAGGTAGAGGAAATACACAGAGGGAGGAAGGGGGCAGGCTGAACATCACCACTTCAGGACTTCAAACCTCAGAACAAAATGGAACAAGACTGATGTCGCCTGGAGAAGAACGGATCTTGGTCTTTTCTGGAGGAGGCAGCATGAAGCCCTGTCAGTCCTTGGCAAACTGGGCCTGGTGTTGCATACCTACGACCCTAGCACTTAGGAAGCCGAAACAGGAGGATGGGGAGGTAAAGGCCAGTCTGGACCACACAGGGACCCTGTCAAAAGAAAAACAAGAACAACAGAAAGAGAATGGAAAGCCTGTGGCACTGGGATGCCATCTTGGGGCTCCCAGGTTCTTTATGTCTTGTGCAAATTATATTTTTTTGGTTTTTTTTTTTTTTTTTCAAATGAATGTTATTGAAACATAGGCTATAGGCTATGTTTATGTGCTTATTACTGGCTATGATTATCTTTGTGCTGTGACAACATATTTGAGTCATTGGGAAGAGACCACAGGACTCTCAAAATGAAAATAAACTCCGTGGAAAATTTTTGTCAGTCTTTGCAATGTGTTTTACTGTAGCCTTTTAAAAGTGTACCCTCGCAATCTAGAAACTGATGACTGCATTTGAGTCCTGTATTTGGGGAGCTGTTGGAGGGGGCTGCTTGTTCTGTCTGGCTGCCCAGAACCGAAATAACCACACAGGTACTGTATTAATTAAATCACGGCTTGGCCCATTAGCTCTAACTTCTTATTGGCTAACTCTTATATTAACTTAACCCATTTCTATTAACTGGTATATTGCCACATGGCAGTGGCTTACGGCAAAGATTCTAATTGGCTTCTGTCTCAGGCAGAGGATCCATGGCATCTCCCTGACTCCACCCTTCTTCCTCCCAGCATTCAGTTCTGTCTACTCTGCCTACCTAAGTTCTGCCCTATCAACAGGCCAAGGCAGTTTCTTTATTCATTAATGCGAATCACAGCGCACAGAGGGGACTCCCACACCAGGGAGCTTTGTTTTCTCTTTTGATCCTGTGCCTGTGTACCTTTAAATCCTTTTTGGTGTCTCTTGTGATATCTAACAACAACAAAACCCAGAGACATAAAGCCTAAGGCTGTCCAAGGGAAAGGCCCGGAGCAGACGACGCCACTCAGATGCATCAGGGCCCACATCAGTTCAGTTGCTCCTTCCCCAGCTCATGCAGCTACTATATTTGAACTTCAGCAAGATAACTGCACATGCACCCTCGTGTAAAGATGGGGTTGTGCAGGTATGTGTGCAGCTGGCATTCCTACATCTGTGGAGTTTGGCATCTCCACGCCCTCAATCGAGCATGATGCTCAGAATGTATAGAAACGAGCTCAGCCTCGACACTGACGGAGGCAGGTGACCGGGCTAGGGCACACTGGCTGTTCACAGCCCAGCACACAGTATACACTCCCACTCCACCCGTGTGGCTGAGATGGGTGAGTGTGAGTAGCTAGCTGGTCCTTGAAGTCAGTCCTTGGGATGTGATTTGTCACCAAGCGTGAGTGTGGCCGTAAGTGTATTTGGAGTAGATGCGTGGGCTGAGCATACAGAGGACCAGAGAACTTTTCAAACCACTCCTGAGGGCAGAGATTCCCTTTATCCTCCCCCACAGCATCAAAGCCGTTACCATGGAAATCGCTCTTGTTGTCTGACTTGACACACACAATGCCCCGCCCAAGCATCCTGGTCTGTCTTAAGCACAGACGGGCAGACAGTCCAACTCTGAGTTGTTCATTTGTTGTTACTGCTTCTGGGTTTTTGTTTCTTTTTTTCTTTTCTTTTGTTGTTTTCTTGAGACAGGTTTCTCTATGTAGCCCTGGCTGTCCTGGAACTCGTGCTATAGACAGGGCTGGCCTCGAACTCAGAGATCCGTCTGCCTCTGCCTCTGCCTCCCAAGTGCTGGGATTAAAGGCGTGTACCACCACCAACCTGCTTCTTCTGTTTATTTTTTAGAGACAGGATCTTGTTGTGTAGCCCAGGCTGACCTTGAACTCATGGCAATCCTCCTGCCTCAGAAACCCCAGGTCCAATGATATTTAGTCATGAGTCCCTAACGGTGGGCATTCCCAGCAGCTTCTTCTCATCAGATGCACGAGGTCTCCACACACAGTAGAACTAACTGGCTGAGCTCCTGAGAGCAGAAGAGAGTGCCCCGGACTCCTGTGTCTCCTGTTCCTGCTCAGTCTCCCTGTGCTTTCCCTCCATAGCTACAATATCCACCATTATTCTACAACCAGCTGACTGAGGAACGAAAGAACTCTGACCTAAGGTGAGTGTGGTGGTTTACACCTGTGACCCTAACAGTGGGGGTGGGCGCAGGGCAAGGGTTGGGGGCAGGATTCTATGAATTGAAGACTAGCCTGGGTTGTGTACCGAGTTTCAATCCAGCCTGTCTCAACAAAACAAAACAAAACAAAACAAAACAAAACAAAGCAAAGCAAGGGGCGGAAGAGCTGGCTCAGCCATGGAGAGTTCGAGTGGCTCTTGCGGAGGTTCAATTCTCAGCGCTGACAGGGAGTCCAGGAACATCTATAACTCTAGTTCCAGGGGAGCTGACGCCCTCTTCTGCCCTCTAATGAGGTATGCAGGTGGTGCACACACATACCGCAAGGCAAAGCACTCATACACATAAAATAAATAAAATCTAAGAAGTAAACCTTTTTAAGTTAAAAACAATATAAAAATCTCGATCTAGCTGCTGAATGTTTCTGCAGTTGTGGGTTTTTTTTTTTTTTTTGTTTGTTTTTTTATTACCTGAAGGGAAACAGCTGCGTCACCGCTCTCAGGTGGATTCCTAAAGGATAACCTCAGCTGAATCAAAGTGAGGATGAGACTCCTCATTGCCAGTTTTGCCTGGGAGGAGAGGCTGGAGGTACCTATGCGTGCTTTATTTGATTGCATTTCCCAGTTCATTGATTTGTGTGCGGAATGTGTGCATATGCAGGCCACAGGTCGACATCGAACATCTCTCTCCGCTGGTCTTCTCCTCCTTTGTTTGTTTGCTTGAGGCAGGGTCTCTGAAGCCAGGGCATACAAACTGTCTAGACTGCCTGGCCGGAGAGTCTCTCGGATCCTCCTGTCTCTGTCTTCTGTGACAGGATTACGAGGGTGCCACTATGACCATTATTTAAAAAAAAAAAAAAAAAACCTAGGTAGTGGCTAGAGTTACAAACTCAGCCTTCCTGTCTACACAGGAAGCATTTCACCTCTGAGTCACCTCCCCAGCTTCCCTTAAGTACTTACATGTGTGTTTTAAAAATATTTTTACTTTTTTCTTTTATCATTTGTGTGTGTGTGTGTGTGTAAGGAGGCCAGAAACATCAGGTCCCCAGGAGCTGAAGTTATAGGCAGTCGTGAGCCTCCCAGTGTGGGTGCTGGGAACTAAATTCAGAGTCTAAACTGGAGAGAGCTGCTGCAGTACAAACTCTGCTGCTGAGCCATCTCCCCTGACCGCCTCTATACATACACTTTTAAAAATACACATGCACACACACAGAGTTTTTTGTTTGATGTCTTCCTCTTTTCCACTCATAAAAGCAACCGGAGCATTTTCTTACCTGAAAACAACAATGACAGACAAACAAACAAACAAAACTACGCAGAATTTCACTGAGAACCACAAAAATGAGCAACAGTCAGGCATAAAGCGAAGGTGTGCTAAGAACAGCAGCGCCTCCCTGCCTTGAGCCCTGATGAGTCACGGTAACTGTGAGCCGGCTGCACGCACCTTGGTCATTTTGCCCCCATGGGAACCTGTGAAGCAAGAGTTATTAACACCCTCTTACAGGCACTTCTGCTCAGAGAGGAAAAAGAAGCCATGGGCCTTCCTTCCCTGGCTGCCACCCTGCCCGGGCATCATCTAGAACATGGTAACGCGTGTAGAAAGAGATCAGGGGAGGTGGGCAGCTTCCCATGGGAAATCTGACATAAGCTAAGTGTGATGTACATAGCTGTGGTCTAGGACTTGGCAGGATGCTGTGTTGGGGCCCTTGTCAAAAAAGAAGGAGGAAGAAAAAGAGGAAGGAGAAGGAGGGGGAGGGAAAGAAGGAAGGGAGAAGAGGAGGAGGGAGGAGGGAAAGAGAAGGGAGGGGGTGAAGAGAAGAAGGGAGCGAGGGAGGAAGAACTGGCAATAATCCAGGTATGACTTAAGCTCTCTGACCTAAAGGAGTGCTTGGCTGCCTGGGGCGTGGCAGGTGGGGAGGAGGGACGTGGCAGACTTCCCAGTTTCCTGTTCCCCTTTCCTCGCTAGTCGCTAGTCGAGGCAGCCCTTATCTTCTCCCACGAGCACAGGGGCACCTTGACCCTGTGCACTAGGGCTGTGCTCCGTCTGAGTGACATACACCAGCGTTCCAACAACCTTCCCCCGATCCCGTAGCCTTCCCACTAAAGCCCCTTGCACAGCGGTCTACACATAAAAGAAAACTGAGTAGGCAGATGCTTTGGTTAGCGACTTTTGCAGAAGCCGTAATTCAAACCTTAGACCGGAAGAAGAGTATACTGGTGGGCCATCAGTTCTAGAGGCCTTAGATGACCTGGAATTTCTGAGGCAGGAAGGGAGGCATCCTGCTGAGGGGCACCGGGTTGCTATAGTTGACAGAGGGTCCTTGGCCACAATGTCGATCCTTTGGTTTCCAGGAATTTGGGGATCCCTTTCCTTCTGGTGCAGTATCGAGTTTCTCTTTAACTTCAATTGTGCACACGGATTCCTAAGCCATGGAGCTTCGCTCCAGCCAAAGCCAGCCGAGCTGGAGACTGCTACACAGAGAATCTCTTCTGCGAACCCCACAAGAATTGAGAGCCAGATGTTCAGAAGGTGGCCACTTAGACAGTGGGACCTATCCTAGACGCTCAGGGATACTGGGGCGGGTGGGCTCCTAAACCCCTAAATCCCACCCCACAGAGTTCCATAGAGCTTACCAAGGACGGGCATCAGTTGCCAAGAGAATGAGCAATACTGAGGGGTTTCACCGTTGTTTTGAGGTGAGGAGCCGGGGGATATGTGTGGTTTTGTACATGTTCCTGTGTGCACTATGTCAAGAGTCTTCTATGGGGTCTCTGCCCTATTTTTTAGTGACAGGGGCTCTCTTGCTCAGTCAGGAGCTCATGGACACCTCAAGATTATATGGCCTCTGAGGTCCAGGGATCTCTCTCTGCCTCTCCATCTCTAGGATGACAGGGACCGTCTGGTTTGTTTGTTCGTTTGTTTTTTTAATGTGTGTGC